AATCTTGGCTGCGAAGTGAGTGTTTGAAACTTGGAGTTTAAGCCTACGTTTTCCTCATGTAATCAATGCACTGACCATCCTGCTGGAGAAACTTTTGTGTTGTTCCCTGTCAACATGTGAAGAGCAGAGAAGAATCCTCAACAAAGAGCCAAAATTTTCGGTCAAAAAGAACCATGTGAAATCTGTCAGTGGGTCACGGTTGTTGCGGCGGTTGAGACAGGATATGTTGGTGGAGCTGCAGCCGTCAAACGACGCTGTGAAGGCTGACCCTCGGTGGTTGGAAGTGGTGGTCCATGACCAAATCATGACCAAATCATGACCAAATCATGACCAAATCATGACCAAATCACGACAAATCATGACCAAATTGGTTCATGGTGTGCTGCAGTGCTTTGATGGACATGGCACTTGATTTCCGCAGCATTCAAAGTAATTACAAGCATCACGCGAACGGATACTCACAGACCAACAAAGACTTGGACTTGGACTGATTCCGCATTCCGCATATAAGTACGTTTCTAGTAGTCGGAATAAAATCCAGAGCAGACAGAGCACGACAAAGAAACATCTCTGATCTCTGTGATATTCTGCGATTTGGTTTGCTTTGCTTTTCGAGTGTCCAGTTTTGTGGCGAAAGGCTTTGTTGAAGACATCCTGTGACCACCTTCACAGACAAAGAGTTGAGCGAGAGATACTCGAGGTTCAGTCCGGTTGGCAGGGCCAGAGTTGGTGGAGTCGTGGAATCGGTTGAGTTGGACAGTTGGAAGTGGATTCTCAAAGCGAGATCTATCAAAACATGCACTGAGCTGAATCGGATTTTGTTTCGACCCTGGATCCGTCATATCGTGGATGGTAGCAATGCCCTAGCCTGTGTCGTCTTCTTGATGTTACAAGACTGCTGCCATCATCCGCTAAGACGATTAGCCATTGCAGGTTTATAGGGATTCGGTTGAGCTTTATTTTGGCATGCAAACAGGAGATTGGACCCTTTCAACCGGGTACCTTGCCACCACCATGAGGCAAAACTTCGATCTATGGAATGCCAACTTTCAGATGCGACCAAGCAGGACGCAGCCGGGGGGCGTGGGTTCAGTGCGGGCAAAATGATTCAAACGGTTTTCTGAACGAAGAGTGGTTCCATTCTTATTTCTGCGTTCTTCTTGGTCTTAGAGTTGTTAGAATCTTGCTTGTTCAGTGTTGCGCCAGACCTAGTGGAAAGTGAAAAGAGTGTCCGTTGGAAGTCGAAAGTTTGCAGAAGGGCAGTTGTCGACCACAGGTTTTTTTTTGTACAGCAGAGCAGGATGAACTGAAGACTTTGCTGCGGAACTTTGCTTTGTATACCGCTGTGAACCTCAAAGCCGAGGTGCACACCGCGGAGTTGCTGCGGATTAATCTGGATGAAATGTGGAGTGACAAGTTTCCGATTGGCATCCCAATGATAAAAGGATGTGCGATTTGTCATGGCAAACCATATCCCAGTATTCGACGGATATCGGGTGTCAGCTGGTCCTGCGCAGGCAGCAATCCAGGCTGTGCTGAATGACCTGGAAGCGTTGAACGCTTCGAAAGACCTGGAGGCGACTTGTCACGGTCATAAATTTGGGGGTGTAAATACCATTTCTATAGACAGACCTTCATTTGCGTTCCAATGCTTTCGACTTCGTTGGCTCCTGGTCGAGCAGACTTGGCAGCTTGGGTCCAACCCCAACTGGTCTGCGATCGTTATTTCATCCACTTCCATCCCCTTGGTGTTGTCTATGCGTGTTAAATATGCTGCCTCTCATCCGGGGAGAGCCATCGTATCTGCGCGTCCCGTTGCCAGTCTTATGAATTCTCACCGTAATTCTGAGGGAAACCCAAAGGGCCCTGTCAGAATCCAGTGAGCTGAATGTGTGGATCAATGTGGTTTCAAAGTTTTCACTGTGCTCGGGGTTCGGATTTTTCTTGACATAGAGGTGCCAGGATCCTCCTGATGTTAACATCGGTGTCAGCTAGGGAGGGCAGGTTGGGGTCCTTTAACAAAGATTTTGAAGGTGGAAGGGGTGTTGGGGTGACCTGGTATGTATCGTGGTCGTCTTCTTATGTCTTCTTCACATACCATGGATATCTATGGACATCCTTTCTGAACATGATTGTGTATTGGTGAAACTTAAATCAGAGACACGGATTTTTGGACATGCAGGTATCAACCATGCAACTTTTTGACTGACTTGATTCATGCGCCAGACCAGGTGGCAATCGCATCTTTCATGGGCTCGGCGCTTGGAATCTCTTTGTTCTTGGTTGGTATCCTTGATGTGGTTTGAAAAATAGGGTACCCCACGTGATTGATCGCGGTTGATGATTTGTAAAATGATGACTTGGGGCTTGAGGTTTTGCCCTGGGATCAGAGTCACGTGCCCAGGAGACGCAAAGGCCGTAGCAGCAAAAGCTGAGGAGAAGCGGCTGGGCCGTGGTCTCGGACGGGTCAAGATCACCAACGATACATTGATCGTTTTTTTTGGTGGAACATATTTCAAAAGTGATGATAATTTGCGCAGAGGTGTGACCAGAGAAGGGAACAATGAACTCCGGTCAAGATGTGTTCTACTCGTTTGAACTCAAACCACAACTATTGGAACAGCCAATTCAATTTCTTGGTGTATGCCCCATTTTCAGAAACGTGTTAACTCCCCATTCGTTCACCATTTGTTTTTCGACACAATCAATCAATTCGCCATGTTTTTCATCAATTGGCTGCCCCTATTATCCACATTTAATCATATCCATTAGATCCCCATGAACATGAAATCTCCATTCTTTCCATGGTTCAATCATGGTTAAATCATGTTAAATCCAATTTTTGAGCCATCGAATCTCCCATGATATCATTGAACTCCCTACTTTTTCATGGTCCACGTCTCGTCCGGGCCCGGGGCTCCAGGAGGCCCCGAAAGGTGCCACCGCGGATGCCACAAACAGCGGCCCGGAACCGAAGGGAGCGGGTTTCACACGGTGCCATGAGATGGGGGATGGGCAGCCATAAGACCTGGAGATTTCATGGAATATAACGTAGAAATATATAGAAATTATAGAAGTTGTAGCTCAAAAGTGGGATTTAACCTGATTTAACTCGATTGAATCATGTAGAATAGGGATTTCCTGAGATATCTAATGATAACAGTGCGGATTTATACCATAATAAATGGGGAATTGGAGCCGCCAAGATAAGACTTCAACATCTTGTGGTGGGATGACGGTAACTGAGTAACCCCTTATTTTGACCGTGGCCATCGTGCTGCTCAATGTTCTCAATCTCACTAATTCTGATGGTGTGGTAAAAGAACCTTACAGAATATTGAAGAAAACTTGAGGTGATAACCACGCGTGCAGGATAGCATGGTTTGCCACAAGTTGATTTTCCACATGATATAACTTTGCACGCCATGCGTTGTTACATCCGGGCACTTTGCAGGCAAGGAAGGCAATGGCTTTTCCTCGTGATGAGTTAGATAATATACATATTATATTGTTCATTTTTTTAAAAATGTGCTTCCAGATATTGTAGCTTACACGTTCCACAACGTCTCAAGGCCAGGCCTTGCTCGCAAATGGCACCCTCAGAGCTTAGACAATTTCAACTGTTGCGGTCTGACGTCATGGATGAATAAGATTTCTTTTGTTTCTTTCCAGTCATTGCTGTTTCGGAAGTGCTTCCCAATTAACTCATAAACTGCCACTATTTTGGACAGACTGAGTGAATCTATTGCAACTCCCACACAAGATAGAAGTAAGATCCAATACTGCAACAATGGCAATTTTACTTTTCCATTTTTCCTAGGGGTTACTAAAGATCTTGTGCAACAGATTTCCTTCGGTTGGAAAACGGACCATGTGCAGTTCGCCACGTTGCGCAGTCCGGCAGTCCGTGTCCGCTGAGGCCTGGCTCCGAGTTCCGCGGGCGACTCCGCAGCCGCTGCACCGGTCGACGTTCCGCGTCCCGTGGCTGCCGTTGCTCGGCTGTGCGACGGAGATGAATGGGGGTTCGTTTCAGATTTCAGAGACAGTGGGGATGACTGGGGTATTTGACATATGTTCTTAGGTTCACGTCATTTCACGTCGTTCATTTGGACTTGTGCAACCTGACATAATTGCAGCATTTTGCAGCATCGTTTGTACCTGCAAGCCTGAGATGTTTCGTGTGAAAGCTTGCTAGGTGCCGTCCATGGACCTTGTTCGTGCCGATATCCGATAGCTGGAGACATGTACTTGCATTTCTTTCTTAAAAACCAAGACTGCTGGATGTACACTCAGTGACAGATATGTGCCCCCACACCATAGGTCAGTATGTAGCACTGCTACACATCACAGAGGCATATGGAGAATACGATTGATTGAAATTGTTGGCAAGTCTTATGACGTTCAGTTTGAACTCTGGCCGGACTCTATGTTGCAGCATAGGGGTTGTTGAATGTGACATGTGTGACCGAGAGATTTGCACCATGTAGGCCACGTGCCTTGCCAGACAGCACAATTACATAGTTCCATACGTTGGAGTGGTTGCAGATGATTTATCGTGGTACATGCAGATATATTGCAGATACTGAAGCAAATCCTTGTTGAACCAATATGACTATGGTCAGTTGAACACACAACCAGCTGATATATCTCAACATTGTCGAATGTCGCTCAAATTTCACTCATCAGGATCTAGAAAACTGATTTGTCTCGGGTCTCAGGCGGTACTGTTTGCTCTTGGCTTTAGTGTCCCAGAAAGGTGACCGGATGCAAGTTTCAATCCTGGAGTTTCAGAAGATCCCGAAAGAACATGGAATGACAGCTACAGCAGCACATTAAATAGGGCCAACAGGCCATGACGCGGCGGCAGAGCCAGTCTGACTCCAGACAAGTTCCGAGGGATGTACTTAGCAGATGTTTCTCTAGACCTAGGCAGTTTCTCGCTTCTTCCAGCGATGTGTTCTTGACCACTGGATAAGACATTTCTATTTTCTCTGGGGTCCATGTGTGCCAAGGCTCACCGATATGACCTGAAAGAGCCACGTGCCTTGGCGCAGTTTCTTCAGGATGCAGACATCCGATTGATCAGAGCAAAGTGCGGTCCTCAGTCGTTGCAACATGCGCAATACTTCCAATGCAACGATACCACATATATTGAGGCCATTGGCTCTGCGTAGTTTCATCATGTTTTCATCCATTGCCGCTGGTGCTGGTTTCAGTTCGGAAACATAAGCTAATTGCTTTGAGCAACCCCACTTTTGGGTGATGCAAGTCAGTCTATACAGGTTCAATAAATTGGAAAGAGCAACACATCCCCTGGAGTACCTTTCAAAATCCACCTCCACAACCGGAGTGTCTTGCTTCTCTTCCAGGTATCTTCATGACTTGGCCCAATCCAAGCGGCCGCTTCCGCGGCGACAAGAAGCGGAGCTTTGCAACTTTGAATTTGATGGCAAGGCCGAAAGTGCCTTAGTCAGCCACGCAGAAGTGCAGAATTGGGCAGCAGGAGCCCGGACTGCGACCATTTGCTCGGTTTCACATGCATGGGAGACTCGGGAGCACCCCGACCCTTGCAGATATCAACTACAGCTTATTGCTGATCGCTCTGCGTGGTATGAAGCTGCTTTTGAAACTGATGTGTGGATTTTTTACGATTTCACGTCCTTGTTTCAGTACGAGCGCTTGTTGTCGGAGGAGGAAAGAAGCTTCAGAGCAGCAATGGCTAACATGCATATCATGTATGCACATGAATGCACCATGACTTTTATAATAGAACATCTGACTCCCACGGATATGTGGGAATCAACAATGAAAAATGACCAAGAACTCATTCCTGTTTGGAACGACAAACTGCAAAGCATCAAATCGAAACCCTTGAATTGTCTCATTGAAAATAGAACTGAATACCTTGAGCGCGGCTGGTGCATTGGTGAGATTTCTTGGTCTTCACTTCGAACACATAATTCACAAAGCCAGCGTATTGACTGGCTAGGTTCCGACCAAGTCGAACCTGGTCAGGGTCAGGGTTTAACTGGTAAAGTGCCGTTGACCCCTGACAAATTCAAGGAAAGAATGAAACGTGCAAAGTTTACCCATAGGGATAAAGACTTGCCGATTGTCGTTGAACTTCAAGAGAAGATCTTCGACGAAAAAGTTGCGGTATGTGAACACCTAGTCCTGAAAGGACTTCCAGAACAAGAAATTGTTGCCCTGGCGGAGGCGCTGCCGTTGTACAGAAGTCTCAAGACTTTGAAGCTTGATATCTTCGAATGTAGCGAAGAAGCAGCAGAAGCCTTTGGCAAGGCCAGGGACTTGGTTCAGTGCATTTCTTGCGACAGATGGTCATCAGTAGATCAAAACTATCACTGAAAGCAAACAAAAGCAGATTTTGCATGATTTTGCGATATTTTGCCGGTCCATTGGCAGCCCAATTTCAAGCCATAAATTTGTCATATATGTCGTCATTGCATGTCATTGCCAGGCTTTAGCCACGAGTCAAATCGTGAGTCTCGACCTCCGAAATCCGCGGCCGGGCAGCGGAGCCTTGATGGGCAAGGCGGGAGCGGTCGCGCTCTTCCCAAACTGTTGAAGTCTGTTGAAGTTGTGGGGCTGACTTTGGCATCTTTGGCCTGTGGAGGTGTAAGATGGTGTAAGATGGTGTAAGATGGTGTAAGATGGTGTAAGATGGTGTAAGATGGTGTAAGATGGTGTAAGGTATATCACAGAGAGTGTCTTCTCTGCTTTCAGATAGAGTGTACACGCGAGTGTACCCAGTGGGATAGTGTCAGCATTCTCCGAGAGCAGGAGACAACTTTGGGTAGCAAGAGCTTCGGTGTTGTCTCAGAGTCTGCCATTGTTCTTTGCGCGCGGCCAGGCTGTGGTTGATGCCTTGACAACAAACCAGTCGTTGACAAGCATCGGTGCAGAGGACGCATCCATATTCAATCTTGCAGCCAAGAAGGCTTGGCTCAAGCTATTTCAAAAGTTTCAGACAGTGTTCAATATAGGCTGTATCTAGCGGCACATTTTATTGCGTTTCCCTTAACAGTTCCTTAACAGATCTTCACAGATCCTTACAGTCAGATTTTTCTTAAGTTTTTCCACTTTTTGCAGCGTCGCAAATGCTGCCTGTGTCACCTCTGCAGCGAGGCCCTGGAAAAAGCCTTGAGGAGGAACAGGTCCATCAAGGACAGACTGCCGCTCGACGCACCGGTCCGTCTCAAGGCCGGCTGCGACGTTGCTGCCGAGCGCCGGTGATCAACATGTGGCGACAGCATGGCCAACAGGTGACCAACCGACCAACCCGCCTTGATCTGCGCCCTGCCTCATCATGCTTCGGCAGGTGGTGGCTGACGCCTTGGAGAGGAACTCCCTGGGGACCAGCGTCACCGTTGACCCCGCAGAAGATCAGATCGACGACCAAAAGGCCAAGGCCTGGTGGGTTTGGAAAAGGGAGATGGTCATGGTATGTGATGAGGGGCGATGTATTTGGGCTCTGAATTATATAATATGTTTCACATTATATCACGGAGTTTTCGTTATTTTGCCTAAGTGGCTAGGATGCAGCTGTTGGCGTTGCTTAGGAGACCTGTATGACCTGTTGAAAATCCTGCTGAGCGTCAGATGTTGAGAGCCGCCTTGGTTGGATGTCGCTGTTTTCTGTGCAAATCCAGGCGGTCGCCCAACTGTTGAAGAGTGGCAGTCCGGTGAAGAGCGTGAAGAGCATCGACTTGGGCAACACCTGCATTTCTGACGACGGAGCCCAGGCTTATGGCTTGATGGGGTGGGCTCGAAGGATCTCGGATAAGGTGCTGGTCGAAGTGGCTCCGTTTCGTCATATCGTGCGTTGCATTGCGATGCAACAACTGCGGCAACGCATTCACACCATGAACTTGTCCTGCAACAGGGGAAGCAAGAGGATGACAGGACGTCAAGTTCGTAAATACCAAAGGAATCCAAAGGGTGTCGGGATTTCTCTGTTCTGTTTGACAGGGATGTTCACAACGGGTTTAGTTTGACACACGCACACATGCTGATATACATATTCGCTGAAGAATTGCCTAGATTTCTTTTCCGCAGGCGCTTGCAGAGGCTCTGCGCTGCAACCAGACCTTGGAGGTGCTGTGCCTTCAGGAGGATCAAATCACCGATGTTGGCGCAAAGGTGCCTTTTCCCATGTGTGGCCTGGGGTGCGACTGGAGGTTGAATCGCACTTGACAAGTGCTGGGGTAACTTATGACACTTATATGACACTGAAATATGCTGAATACCAATACCATCCCCAAAAAAAGCCACACGTTTGCAGTACTTTGATGAAAAGACCGTCTTTTGAGCGTATTTCATAAAAGGTTGTCTTTTTGCCAAGAGTTTGTCTCTTCTTGAGAGCTGCTGAAAACCCCTATGTTTCATGGTTTTGGACGGGATCTTGAAAGGTACGGTATACTTGGATATACTTGGATAATTTTGATCAAAATACCATTGCTATGTAATCTTTAAATAGTCCCATCCAGGATGTCCACAACATTACAGTATAACATGGTGCCAGGAAACCAGGAAACAGCCCCAGCGATCAGTTGTGACAATTTTCATCGTGTTCATGGTGCCCAGGTAGCTGTATTGTGTGGGACCTGTAGAAAACCCGTACTAACCCGTAGAAAACCCGTAGAAAACCCGTAGAAACCCGTAGTGCAATTCGAACAGATCATGTTTCACACGTTTTAGAAAAAGTTTGACTATTGCTAACCTGTAGATCACTCGTATTTTGGCCGTGGAAACCCGTAAAAAACCCGTCCGAAAAATATGTTTTTCTGGTGGTTTTTGGGGGTCCTGGCATAATGTGCTCCCGTATCATTTTCAGGCCTTCTGAGCATGTCTCATAGCTTCAAATTCGATGGTCTCAATTGATGAAACACCTCTGACTCCTGACGATGTGAAGGTAAAACAAAGAAATGGATTGTATCCTGTCAAAGTTCCATAGCTGATTTCCAACAGTTCGCCTTTGTTGAGAAAAGATCGTTCTTTCCTAGGTGTCTGCGATTATCAAGGGTTTTTGGATCTCATGGTATATAATGTTTTGCATCGTTTTGCTTTTTCAAGTTGCGATCGGTGGGAAAAACACGAAGGAAAAACTAATTCAGGCAATTTCTGACAAGGTCAAATCGCGTTATATGTTTCCTTGGTGTCAGCTGTTCCTCCCACTCCCTCAGCTGCAGGCTTTGGCCGAAGCCCTGGCGGTCAACAAGACCCTGAGGAGTCTAACTCTAACTATGGGGTTCTACGAGGCACCTGGGTTCAACGGGTCCCGGGCTGGTCGTGCTCATGGGCTCAACTGACAGGCCCTCAGGGCAGTGGAAGAGATGAAGAGAGGTCGAGGAGACGATTTCCGATTCATTTCGGCAGAAGAAGAGGAAGCCAAACGGTGCTGGGGCCTCAGAAGTCGGTAGGAGGAAGGCATGATGGCTGATGGTGAGAAGTTTGAAGATTGGTGTGTGTTTTTTTAATGAGGAAGATTACAACATTGTAGGGCAGCTCCGAAAAAATTGAATCGTCCAACGATTTCTGCACCACAGTTGTCAATAGTTCGCCCAGACGGTGAACGGTCAGCCGCTTTGGCGACGTGGGCTGCAGCGGCGTTGCTGCCCTGGCCGAGGCCACGGGGACATCTTGGAGGCAGCCCTTTGCCGGTGCGGTGCGGCACCTGCTGCGCACGCAGCCCGGCTCCGTGCAGCAGACGGACCTCCTTGGCCCGGGACCCCAAATGATCCACGGGACTGTCAATGGGGGCTGGAAGCAAAACCGGAGACTGTGCTTAATCTGCAAGCTGTAGCGCATCAAGATCATCAAGGCGCTGGATATATAGAATTAGATCTAATTATATATACTGGAGGTACTGGTACCATGATGATTCATTTGGCACTATCTGTAGAGATATATTATATATATACATATATATATATATATAGGTACGGTACCATCTGTAGACTCACAGCAGATTCAAAACATTTACCTTTTTAAACCTTGGTGTTCCTTTCAGACGGCTGACTTGTTCTCAGAGGATACGCACTGACCTGGTGTAGGGTGGCGATGCTGTTAAAATTCAAGAATTTCCTGAAAAACATTGCTTTGGAACAAGTGCTAAGACAGCACGGGTGGGATGTGAACCATTGCATTTGTCTTTAACTTTAAAGTATTTTAAAGAGTTCATGTCTTAAATTTCATGTCTTAAAGTTAACGTTTTGGATGTTGTGACTTGGGTGGTTGCGATCCTCTTGCATCGCACATCCCCTTTACAACTTGGTAAATGTTGGCGACGCGTCTCATCGTAGAATAGTATTGCAAAGCGAATCACATTTGACATAGGCTTTGAATCTGCTTGCTCTGCAACCTGTATTGGTGTGACGCATCAAGGCATTCGGTACATGTTTGGTACCATTTCATAATATGTGTACACTGCCCTCGGCTGATTCAAACCCTTTGTCTTCAGCTTGCAGTGTGTTCTCTCGCATGCCTATGACAAACTTGACATAAGATGATACAAGTTCACAAGATGTAAAATTGACCTAGGATGACTATAAGCAGTGAATAGCAGTGAAATGATGGGGTTCAGTGAAGACATGCAGTTAGACTAACCACAACGTTAAAGCTTGTGGTTGGAAGGTCAGGGATATTTATTCCTTCACTTCTAATTTAGATAGCTGCAAAAAATATGACAGTTTGAGTCCTTTCAGGAAACTTTCCAAGCAAACCATCCTTGGAATCCGGTGCGTTGCTCACGACCTTGGCGAAGCAAGTCTCCTGTCTACTGACACTGTAGTGATGTGATGTTCATTTTCTTTCGCCATGCTCTTCACACAGGGTTTTGCCATGTATTCCCGATAGCCTTCCGCTCAGAAGATAGAACTTGAACACATTCGACAGGTTTTGAATCTGCTTTCTCTGCAAGCGGTAATACAATGATAGGAGATGTGGACTTTGGCCAATCGGATCAAACATGCAGCGAATGAAAAAGGCCTTGTAACTTGTAACACAAACATCGACTCCAACAACTTGGTACCGAGCTTTGTAGGGGTAGATGCCCGGATGCACATCCACAGGCCGGGCTCCGGACTGAGGCTGGACCCCGCTGCACTATGCAGCATTCTACGGCAAGGCGGAGGTGGTCCAGCTGCTTCTCACGGCCAAGGCGCAGGTGGACGTGCAGGAGAACAATGGCCCGGGGCCTCTGCGGTCGGTGACCGTCTGGTGAACTTCGTTCGATCCGGGTTTCGGTTGTGACTCTTTCCTCCACATTCAGCGAGAAATGTCTCTGCCGCATGGGCTGCCCGAGGCCGAACTCCGTTGCACCTGGCAGCTTTCCACCGCCACGCGGAGGCGGTGAAGCTCCTGGTGGAGATGGCGTCGCTGGCGGTGCAAGACGTGGATGGCGGAGGCCTCAGCTGCAGAGTACCTGTGGATCTCTGGCCTTGGCGCTTCGTCGTTGGCTTCACTTGGTGGCAGCCTGCATTCAAGATGCAGATAAAATTACACGTTTTTTGTACAGATAAAATTACATGTTTTGTGTAAAGGTAATATTCACATTTTGTAGTTGAAAGGTATTTTGATGAAGTTTGTCCAAGTTGGAGAGGAGAAAACAGCTTCGTTAAGCAACTTGGGTTTTGAACAAGTTCGGTTTACCATTTGAAGGTAAGACATGTAGAAAGGGATGATTATGCAGTGCAGATAAGATGCTTTCACCATTTTTCACATGGGTTCATAATTCATATAGTGTAAATGGGGCTTGATGAAGTTTCATTCTTGAAAGAAAAACCGGCTCGCAGTGGCTTTGAGAATGGCTTTGTTCAAAGCCTTCCCTCGCAGTGTGTTGACGTCGGGCCGAGGCTACACCCCATTGCACCAGGCAGCAGCCAATGGCAGCGCAAAGGTGGTGGAGCTGCTGCTCGCGGCCAATGCACCGGTGGATGTGCAAAACAATGGTGGCCGGGGGCCTCAGTTCAGACACGACTCGTTTCGCTTCTATTAGCGCGTGACCGTCTGTCTTGAGATCGGAATTTGCATCTCTTTTGTGCAGAAAAGTCATTTGTTAACATAGTCGCTTTGAGAATGGCTTTGTTCAAAGACTCAAACGGTATATATTGGTGGTTCCGACATGATCAGAAGGTTTTCCCATGGGCTCAGCCCCGTTGGTCACCGCTGTGAGGAGAAACTCCGTTGGACATAGCGAGAGAGGAAGGGAAAGCCGAAGTCGCCCAGCTGCTCGAAGCCGTGACTTGGCCGCACGGCCGCAGCTCGGATTCTCCACCGTTGCAGATGTTGGCGCCGAGGCCCGGGCCGTTGCACCGGGGCCCGAATGAAGGCCGGATGCTCAGAGAGTTCTATGCGATGTTCTGCCAGTCTGGAAAACGTCCATAGGATGTCCACCCTCAAAGATGCAGGGTGTTTATGCTACTGGCTGTTGGAATCAGCTGTATTTTGGTACCATATCTTGGGCCATTGTGGATGAATAGAAATCGTTTCTTTTGTGTCCTCCGGTGCCATCTCCTTAGACGTGAGGAACGTGGTTCTTGGCACATCTTGGCACTGGTTTTCGATTCTTGGCACTGGTTTTCGATGGTTTTCTGTTGCCTTTGACTCCAGGCCATCCGGTGCAACCATGAAATGCATCCGAATCTCAATGCAACGCACGTTTTGACGACTTTTTCAGGGTTTGTAGAGGTCCCCATGTGGAAATGGAATAGTGGAGCCATATATATGGAGGTATTGGTCCGATCAGATAGGGATCCATTCGAGCGCATTGGCGACCAATGAGGCAGCTCGTTGGGAGCCATCGAAGCTGGTACTTTGCTGAGCATGGAAATTTGTTTCACAGTTTCACATTTCTTGGCCGAACTTCCACTCGCATACTGCCAATGTGGTGATTTTGAGGGATCCAGGCAAATTTATGGCTATCTAGACATGCCTGTAGTGGAACTGGGAGAGAGTAGTATTGTTTGATATTGTTTGCAAGTATGTGGATGTGTTGCGTGCCAGCACTGGCATCAGATCAAAGCAGCGCGGCGATTCAAAATTTTCATTGGCAAAATTGCCAAAAACATGTATGATTTTTTCGGATAGTTATGGATAGCTTGTTTTTGGAAACTGATGGCATCCGATGGCAATCTCAAATCTGATCAAGGTGACCTCCCAGCACTAAGAGAGGTTTTCCTCGGTGGATTTTCGAAAGTAAGTGCATACTTTGATGTAATTTGGAGATCTTTGACTCAACATATCTCAAATTCATGGCTCGTAACTGTTTTGATCCAGATGTTGACTCGTTTGCTCCAGTTTTGGTCATAATTTGTCTTTGGATCCAGGCGTTGCTGTCATTTTGGGGATGTCAAACAGACGGTTGGACATGCCATGGCCGTAAAGTTGGGACGGGTGAGACGACATTTCCACTTGATTTCCCCGTCCGTTCTCCCCGAGCCCTGTTAAAACCGGAAACATCCGGAAACCATGGGACCCAAGCGATGCAAAACGGACGGAGTCTCTGGGGATTTTCTGTTCCGTTTTTTTGTTCTGTCCATTTCCGCTATTTGCATTTTGGAATTTTGGAGGAAGCCATCATGTCAACAGTATTTGCAGCATTCTTGAGTTCGAACCTCTCATTTTCCATAGAATTTGCATCCTTTTGGTGCTCGAACTGTTCATGGAACATGGTAATTTGCAACTAGGGTTCATTTAGGATTGGTTTTAGGGTTGGTTTAGGGTTAGTTTAGAAAAGCAGAAAAGCAGAGAAGCAGAGAAACAGAAAAGCAGGAAAACGCAGAAAAGCAGAGAAACAGGCCAGCAGGGAAAAGCGGAGAAGCAAAGAAGCAGGGAAAAGAACAGAAGCAGAGAAACTGGGAACCAGAAAAAAAAACAAAACAGAAGAAACAATCCGCAAAAAATAGCACTCCAAAAATAAGGCTACGGCGCGGTTCGCGACCCGGGGTAATTCATGGATTTTTCATGATGCTTGGTTCACCAAATCATGGTATTTGCAAGGTTTTGTAAAAACGTGATAAAAACGTCAAGTCGTAGTTACACTGGGGCCAACTACGAAAAGTGCGTTTCGTGTGGAACGTTCATCGATTTTCAACACGTCTGAAAAGAATTATTGTTTTTTTCTTTTGTTGGACAGATTCAGTTACATCTGATCACCAGTCATTCAGCAAAACTCCTTTTTCAACTCACCCTTGCAAGTTGTTCAGCGTCGACTCTTCTTGGCCAGCTTTCCCAGTTCCTTCCACAGGTTATGACCTGAGTTGTGTCTGTACATGGAGGCTTTAATCTGGTCCAGCAAGCGCCGGTCGACACGGCGATCTAACTTCCCCACCCCACCCCAACCCAGTGACGTGACGTCAGTTGTGCATGTGGCGCAAGTTAACATGAACGTTAACATCCCCACCCCACCCCAACCCAGTGACGTGACGTCAGTTGCGCATGCATCAATTTCAAGAGCAACTTGCAACCAATGAGCAAAAATGACAAAAACGCAGGGGTCGTTAATGGCGCCGTAGGCAAAAATAAGTACCGACACGACCACCTATGTCTTCGTTTTATTAGCATTAGTCTACCCGCAAAATTATGTGAAAATCATTGAAAATCATATTTTGGAGTACTCAGCCCTAGTTTTGCTTATAATTTTTTCTTCATTTTATCATTAATTAATTGGGGTGTATCTGGAGTGGTGGCCTGTTTGCATACCATAGACTCTCATGCGCCAGAACTTGAAAACTGACATAGCACCTGAATGGACATTTCATCACGGGATTGGATTGGATTTGGGGATCCTAGCTTTCCTTCACACCTTGTAAATTTACACCTTGTAAAGGAGAACATGTGCCATTTAAACGTTTTTGGGTTGAATCTGGACTGGTGGCCTTATTTTGTCTCTGTGTTCCCCGGGTATGTTCGTCGAACCCACAACGGAAACCAACATGGAACCCAACGATTCTTGGGGCACCAGTTTCAGCAAGTTCATCAGCAAAATTGTCACATTTGTCTTTCTTTTGCTTCTTGTTGCTCTTTCCATCTCTTTCTTAGCTTGCTAATTTTGGTTGTCGTTTCCTGTTGATTCCTTCTCTCTTCGGTGTCACGTTTTCTGCCCGTTGCGGTTTACGTTGGAAGGTTGTGCGACGAACAGGGAACCCAACACATTGAAAAAAAGTGCCAACGCAACCTTTTCTTAGAGGTGTTTTGGTTTCAGTTCTTTTCCCACCACTGACCTGGAACCTGATTAGTTTTTTGACGTTTTTTGAAGGGAATAAAGGATTTCCAGGTAGAATCACGCAAAACGCCCAGGTTTTGACCCTTTTTCTGATATGTTTTTTCAAGACGGAGTGAAAAATAGGGTCGCCCTCAAGACCTACATAGAATTTTGACGATTTATAACCTTTTGAAAACCATTTGGGTTCCAGGTCAATCTTCAAATCGCCCTTCACGATTGCAGATCGATTTATGATGACTTGTTCAAATTCCATATTAGCTGTTTCAGGGTGCAGTTTGGGTTCAGTTCGGACCCACATTGGGTTCCATGTCAGTTTTGGCGTGATTTTATTCAAAAAGTTAGTTGCGTGATTCCCTGGGGAACGAAATCCACTCCACACCGTACCATGGTGCCATGTTAGTGGACTTCAGGAATAGCATGAAGTTCCACCGAATTCAGGAGTGTATATATTGATATTTTCCATCACAAAACACAAATTCAAACTTTTGTTCTGGTGTTTTTTTAGGGTCAGCCCCATTCTTGACGATTGGTCGTGGTCGCCCGAACGAGATGGTTCCAGGATTTTGTGTTTTCTGCATTGTTTCTACGGAGATGGAAACACACATCATCAAACATCTAAATTTGCATTGAGATCCTTTTGCAGGCAGAATGGAAGGATTGCTCAAACCAGAACCATTACCTGGAATTGGACCAGTCAGGTCCTGGAAAAGATTTAGTTTGAACCAAAACTTGTGGCAGAGTATGAACGGCTAGGTATCAAGTTGGTTTGCCCTCCTGGATTCGCATAGCGTTTCTGTCTTGATCTGCTCCCGGGCATAGTGCTGCAGTTCCACATGTTTGGCGTTTCCAACTGTTGACAAAGTGCGGGCATCAAGTCGGCTGAAAATGAACTCTTGGCAGCGTGGGTTGTTTGTGAATTTTGTCCTGATAAAGACAATTAAGTTCAATTTCCTCCAACACCTGCTGCAAGAAGTGGAATGTTTGTAGTTGTCGGAGGGAAACTTGCCCATAACTGCCATAAACCCAGAAATTTTGAAGAAACCTACGGCCAATGGCAGCGCCGCAATCGTGCTCAGTCGTCGTGACGTCATCGGAATTATCCCCAAAATTGAGATGTATGATAGCAACTATGAATTCAAGTTGGTGAACTATGATGAAATTGAGCCAGAAGTAGTCCGCAGTGCTGCTCAAGGTTGAGTCTGCCGTCAACAGCCATTACTCCTGTGACGTTCCAGGCAAATGTTCAGCACATGATGCATGTTGCAAAGGTTTGAATCCAGCGCAATTGCCCATCAATTGCTTAACTGTGGGCCTAAAGTTCCAGAACCGAGCATTGTTGAGGATCTGAAAAAACCATAGTATGGCCTACCTAGGGCTACGAGAACCCAAGAAATTGTAGACCCAGTAAAAAAAACCGGGTTTTTTTGAGAAAAACCGGGTTTTTGATTTTTAGTGATTTTGATGCAATCTTAAGAAATCACCAAATCTCAACTTCACAGGATAGTGCAAACTCAGACCTGCAGAAGTGCAATGCTTTTTCACATAATTGTGATATATACATTCGATCTACCCCCCGCCCAGTAACAGCAGATAAATGATTTTCCTTTAACCTACCCTTTCAAAACGAGCACAAGGAAATTGCTCCAAAAATCTCGGCTAGGAGGTGCCCAAAAAAAACGTCAACCTGCCCTCCAAACCTCTGATACAGAATTCAGAATTCAAGACAGGGGCTTCACTTTCAAGATCTTTCAAGCATATCAGTTGCATTCCAACATTGAGAAAAGAAGAGCGCAGACTACAGACAATACATTCATGTGTTACCCTGAGAAGGTGCGAGCAAGGCGTCTGCATCGAAGCAAGGACTAGAACATATTGTGAAAGGATTTGGCCGCTTGATGCAACTGGCACAATGCACCGTAATGTGCTCAACCATGGAGTCAGATTGGCCATGTGGGAAAATGGAAATGTTATATACTTGGCATCCATCCTAAACTTTAAATTCTAAACCCCGAGCCCATTCGAACCCTAAATCGCAAAACTTCATTGACGCGTAAGTACCAACCGCCAAAACCAGCACAAGCTAGACACAAAAAGAGCACAAAAAAACACAAAAAAAAACATTAAAAAACACAGAAAAAAACACAAAAAAGCACCAAAAAAAGCACCAAAAAAAGCACAAAAAAAGCACAAAAAAAAGCACAAAAAAAGCACAAAAAAGCACAAGGAGACTGCAAAAATAATTGCGAAAAAAATGAAAAAAACTAGCCCGGGCAAGGAAAGGTCCAAAGGGACGACAAAACGAGCACCAGAGGGACCACAAGAAAAGCACAATTTGAGCACCAGCCGAGCACAATTTGAGCACCAGCCGAGCACAATTTGAGCACCAGCCGAGCACAATTTGAGCACCAGCCGAGCACAATTTGAGCACCAGCCGAGCACAATTTGAGCACCAGCCGAGCACAATTTGAGCACCAGCCGAGCACAATTTGAGCACCAGCCGGGCACAATTTGAGCACCAGCCGAGCACAATTTGAGCACCAGCCGAGCACAATTTGAGCACCAGCCGAGCACAATTTGAGCACCAGCCGAGCACAATTTGAGCACCAGCCGAGCACAATTTGAGCACCAGCCGAGCACAATTTGAGCACCAGCCGAGCACAATTTGAGCACCAGCCGAGCACAATTTGAGCACCAGCCGAGCACAATTTGAGCACCAGCCGAGCACAATTTGAGCACCAGCCGAGCACAATTTGAGCACCGGCCTGGGCAAATCAGAAATGACCAAAAATCAATGCAAAGCAGCTGAGGGACCACAAGAAAAGCACAATTCGAGCACCAGCCGAGCACAATTCGAGCACCAGCCGAGCACAATTTGAGCACCAGCCGAGCACAATTTGAGCACCAGCCGAGCACAATTTGAGCACCAGCGGAGCACAATTTGAGCACCAGCCGAGCACAATTTGAGCACCAGCCGAGCACAATTTGAGCACCAGCCGAGCACAATTTGAGCACCAGCCGAGCACAATTTGAGCACCAGCCGAGCACAATTTGAGCACCAGCCGAGCACAATTTGAGCACCAGCCGAGCACAATTTGAGCACCAGCCGAGCACAATTTGAGCACCAGCCGAGCACAATTCGAGCACAATTTGAGCACCAGCCGAGCACAATTTTTGAGCACCAGCCGAGCACAATTTGAGCACCAGCCGAGCACAATTTGAGCACCAGCCGAGCACAATTTGAGCACCAGCCGAGCACAATTTGAGCACCAGCCGAGCACAATTTGAGCACCAGCCGGGCACAATTTGAGCACCAGCCGAGCACAAAAAACCGAAAACAGTAAAACCAAAAAAGTCAACTGCGCCACCAGCCCCAGCCCCAGCGCCACGCCCAGCCCCAGCCCCAGCGCCCCCAGGCCCAACCCAACCACACCAGCCCCCAGCACCCCAGCCCAGCCAAGCCCAGCCCCAGGCCCAGCCCCAACCCCCCACCCTTGCGTTTGGTGGTGGTGGTTGTTGTGGTGGTGGTGGTGCTGCTGCTGCTGCCGCTGCTGGTACTGCTGGTTGTAGTGGTCGTGGTGGTGCTCTCGCTGGTGGGGGGCGGTTGTTGTTATTGTTGCTAGTTGTCACATTGCTAAGCTGTCGTAGTTACTAAGAATTGCTAAGGTTTCCAACGGAATGTTGGTGATAAGTTGGCCAGTTCCTAGCAAATCTGTAGCAACCAGAGCCGAGAAGAGAGAAACATACACCTGTGCAGCTTGATTCCTTCCGATTCACATGAAACATTTTTTCAACCATTTGATGATTTACATATTCATGGTGTCTACCTGATCCATTGTTTGGTTTTGGTATAAGAATTTATCCGTATCATATCACCAGATTAGACCCTTATTTTCTGCATTTGGCTGGTGCTCATTTTGTGCCCCTGGCTTGTGCTCACTGTTACTGCCCCGGGGGTAGATCAAATATATACATCATGATGGGATGTTTGTTAGCGAACGGCATTTGAATGCACACGTCTTACCAGCCACCTGTCCCTGAGAGCTTGCAAAATATGCATTTTCATCTTTTCTCAAAGCGCGTTGAGATATCCACACTTGACGTAGTGAGCAAAAGTGGCACGTAAACATCTTTGCATAACTCTCTTTACCACCTGAAGCGGTGATACTCGACGCGACACTCTGCTGCATCTACCAACCATGTCCTCATCGACCTGCACTGAGTGCGCCAAAGGGTTCAGAATGTATTCAGTTTGACATTCAGCAAGTTCCAGGAAAATATGATTGCAATTGTGGGATTTGGGCATAAACACATACAGCGCAGTCTTTGCATGAAAACTCGTTGCGGCCATTTGCTGGTAGAGTGCCAAGTGGCGAAGGCCTTTCTGCCCAACTTCACGAGCCACGTTCTTGTCCAACCAAAGGTCAGAAGAATACAAAGTGTGCAAGGCTTCGTCCATCACCACTGCTGCTTCCAAGCTTTTGCTCAACAAGGGATCATCCCGCAAATCCTCACGCTGCAGGTACCACACCACAAACTTCATCAAGGTTGTGGTGGTATGTCCCTTGTTCCAATGGCCGTTTGGGTACGATTTTTTATCAGGCCATTGGATTGTTTCCTTCGACAGCCCACCAATGTAAGGAGTAATCTTCGCTTCTTCTGCCCACGACAGGAACTTGTCGGATAAATTTGAGAATCGGAGGTCAATGTTCCCTCCCGGCATTCTTTCTGACATCAGCGCAAGCACACTCCCCAAAAAAGCTTTTCCTAATCCAAGGTGCCAGCAATGCCAAAGATCGAATGTGAAAAATCGCGCCGCGTAACCTTCTTCATGGGGCAAGTCAAGAAGTGTAGGCCTGGTCACAAATGGCTGGTCGTCCCTTGCAAACTGTGTGCGCACCCAGGCAGCATTGGTTGAGAAATCCTCGAAAGGTATGTGCAGTTGTCCTGCATGACAATAATGGCAAATCCCTCGGCGGGGACGCTTCTCAACACTCGAAAAGCTCCTAGCCAAATTCCCTGCCTTTACAAGGAACTGCCAGTCGCCGCAGCATTGCAAGACTGCAATGCGATACTTGTTTCCATCAGAATCAGATACACCATTGTAGAGCAGGTCCAGTGCATCATTCTTGATGAACGTCAAAATCTCTTGGAAAGCAGCTTCGTCTTTGAACATCTTGGGTAAAGTGGCTGTAACGAAGCGATGGGACCAGCTAGAACCCACGTAGTTTAACCTCATGGCCTTGTATGGCCTCTTCTTGCGAGACGAGTTGGCAAGTTCTGTTCCCTGGCCGAGGTAGCTGTGAAAACTGCAAACCAAGAATCCCTGTTTTTTGTAGCCTCTACCCTCGTCTCCATGTAGAACAAAAGGTGCCAGGCGTGATACATCAATCCCCTCTGCATCAATCACTCGAAAGATTTGATGGTGGGGTTTCCAGGTTCTGTAGCGTGCCCAAAACTCAGAAAGAATCGCCTGTTCTCGTAGAGGATCAGGCTTGGCAAGACCCGTCAGAACATGCCAGCACCCATACGTCACCAGAAAATTGCACCAACTGCTCAGACTGATGGCATCGAGATCACCACGGTAACGCACCCCAGGTGGCTTTGGAAGCCGTGACATTTTGATCGGCAAAGTCAACAGGAACTTTTTGTCTGAAACGGACGTCAAGTCTCGTTCAGAGCTCTTTTCACTGCAGTTTGCTACCTCATTTAGTCCTGGAGATTTGGCAGCACCAGCTTTGCCGATGTCTGCCACGACACTCTTCGCAGTCCTGATGGCTGATCGGCAAGAAGATGCCTTAGCAGACGGGCTGGGATTTCATCTCAACCGTGCAAAAACTGTGTAGGGACAAGGGGGACATTTTCAACTGTTCGCAACATGCAAAAGGATACATGAGATTGTGTATCAGACCTGCGACTCCTGCAGACACTGCACTTGCACGAGCAAGCGTGTTCTTTTTTAAACCTGTTTGCACACAGCGCTTTGCACTACAACAAGGCTGATAAGGTCGAACTTTTCATGTTCTTCAGATTCCTTTTATAGCGGCATATCAGGGACAGGTGGCTTGCCAGCCTTTGCAGCCATTCCTTTGCTGAGAGTGCTTGGTGCATGTACTGGCCTCTAATTTGGTTTGAATTTAAAGCTCCGATGCACTATGTAACAAAACCAAAGACCCTTTAGGTCAGTGTTCACAGTATCCCCTCCGAGTCGAACATTGCGACAGCCAGGCCTACCTTAGCAGAGCTGGGCAAAGACAGATTAGATATATATATATATATATTATAGGTTTAGCTGAAAAGGGGATTTTATATGTTTCAGAAAAGCACCCACGGTACCCGCGGAAGCATATAGGAAAAAACCATGGCCGGACAAGATGCTTTGGTACTTGTGGATTAGGGCAGCTTCTAGCATTCCAGTTGAGTATGGCTCATCAGATGCGAAAAAAACAGTCATGTTCGACCATTTGTCTCGATCACCGCAGTAGCCGTAGATAGGATTGGACCATCGCCATGCTGGATCGTGGGTCACTCCAATCTTATAGATAAGAGGTTCATGCTGTTTGAATAAACTTTCAACAACATTCACTGAATGGCTAAGAGCTTTTCCAGCCAGCGCATTCCACTTGGGCAGCTTGAACGCAATGCAGCCTAGAGCCGACGCCTGCGCTTGCAAGAGCTCCAGGCTGGATTCAGCTGTCTTGTTGTCCAAACACTGCGGCGCCCGGGTTCGAGCAGGACTATTGAAGTGAACACGGTCCATTGGGAACCTTTGATCAACACATCCCTCATCATCAGTACGTCTAAGAAAAGTAGCGTTTCTCCACGCAAAGGGGCCTTCAGATTCCTGAGCTGAAGCAATCAAGAGGTGTATACATAACCAAATGAAGAAATTGTTTTCCTTATCCATGAAATTTCAACTGTGTTGCCCAAGAAACGGAACGATGGCATGATAGGAGTTCGATAAGTTCCTCCATTGAGGAGTCATCACCATGGCTCATGATCCAGCGTTGAGGGATCAAATGACAGATGTATTTATATATATATATATCAGTCTCTATCTTCTATCTATCTATCTATCTGTCTGTCTGTCTGTCTATCTATCTATCTATCTATCTATATCTATCTATATCTATCTATCTATCTATCTATCCATCTATCTCTATCTATCTATCTATCTATATCTATATCTATATCTATATCTATATCTATATCTATATCTATATCTATATCTATATCTATATCTATATCTATTTATTTATCTATCTATATCTATATATATATATCTCTCTCTCTACACAAAAATATGGAAGAACACACATATATATATATATATAGGATTCCTAAAAGGTGGTTCCAAAAAGGATTGAGAATAACACGCCACACAATTGTTTCAAGTGCCGTCTCTTGCTACAAATTTGCCATATGAGTTCATAAACATTTTGTTTAAAAATCAAACCGTGTATATATATATATATAGTTGCATAGATCCAACGATGCCGCCACCTATTTTCTAATGATGCTATAATGCTGCGGAGTAAAATTATATATCACTTCCAGATATGGGAGGCAACCAGCTTGGGATCCATTCCCTGTCATTTTGTTTGAGGCCGTTACACCTTCTGCAATGTCAGCAGTGATCGTCCGAAGCGCCTTGCCAGCACCTGGCACGCGGAAGGGATACATTATGATACATGCGGGGTCCCATTTTAGGAAGAACACCTGGTCAACAAATTTACGGAGGATTCGAGTCAAATGGAACGAGTACAGAGTACAGTGTTTTACCTTATAACGGGAGAAGAAAATAATATTCAGTGGGCTTGGGACAGGACAATCCAGATCAGCAATCCTGATTTTTTCTGACCGTTCATGTGAACCTTAGCCGCCGTGGCAGTTCCCCATAGCCACTCTGCCAACATGTTCCACGTGCCTAGAGGCCATCTCCCAGCAACTATGATGAAAGCAACAGCTTTGAAATTGCACTTGCATGTATATATATTTTTAAAACCAAAATAGAGGCATGTAAAGAACAATTAAGAGGTGGTAAGTTCCCACGGCCAGGAGATAGCAGGCTTGTGAATCTACGATTGAAACTTCAAAGCTGCATGCAGGGTCTATCCTGTTTACCATGCCACAGGTTTCCCACATGCTTCCCATATATGCCACAGACTTGTCGTGGGAAAACACTTCACTTCTTGGTTTTTTTGGCCTTCTTCTTGGGTGCAGCGTTGCCTGCCCCAGGATCCACATTGGAATCTGCACCAGGAGGCTGGCTACGTCTCTTGCCAGAAGCGCTGGCTTTGGCCTTGGGCGCCTGGGATCGTCCAGGGGGGCCCTCACCAGCAGCATCCTTCTTCTCATACTTCTTGGCATTCCTGGGCCGCCGGGTGCTCCCCAGTAAAAATAATATACGGTGAACTAAATCTTTTGGGGATGTTGAAACAGCTGGCAAACTCAGGCCAGGTCCGAATCTTGTTTTCAGCCGCAACTGCAGCACTACACCTGGCCAGGGGTTATATAAATCAAAGAAGTTGTGTTGTAACCAGCATTGTAGAGATGTACATCCGTATATACATATATTATATATATATATACACATTATATATATATATATATACATATGGAGCCAGTTCCAGCAGAAACAGATGGATAAATTCTATATATGTATACGGGCAATCATCAACGCATCCTTGCTAAATTTGCAGGGCTGACGCAAAGGTTGCATTCTTCATTGCTGCCGTTGCTTCAGCGACAAACCTGCTCATCCAACATTGAAAATGATAAATACATAATGGGTGTCAGAATCATTTTTATACAAAGGAAATTCTGGCCGATTCAAGATTGCAAGCAGGTAACTTCCCGTTGAATCCATTGACCTCGCCATTCGTGAAGACCAAGTTGCACTTGTCATACTCTCCGTCCATTGCGGCCAGCTGCTTCTCCAAAGAGGCAACATGCCTTAAAGATGTTGTCCATACATATATTTTGGTTTGTGTATATGCGAGGGCTCCAGAATGAACAAGAGGACTCCCTTTCCATGATCATGCCCATGGCACATGTGTGCACACTTTGAGAAAATTGTTTGGTAACATGCTGATACCTACCTCCTTTCGCGGCCAAGCTTTTAACAAGTGACCTGATCTCATTTTTAAGAACCAAAATAATTGAACACAGGTCACTTGTTAAAAAGTTGGTTGCCAAAAGTGCTATGTCGATTTAAAAACAACTCGAGCACCAAGGCTCTGACGTAGCCATCGCAGAACTTTGGGAATAATTTTGTTTCAAATCCCTCACAAGACCACGAATCTTGCCCGCTTTCTGAAGCATGCTGTCCATGAAAGTCTTCAGCTTGTTTTTGGTCTGGCACACGTGGTGCATGGTGGTGAAGTATAGGGGGCTGGATGTATGAAACTGATGTGAAAGTTATTGAGCAAGTCGCTCTTGCGACATGAATCAACATCAACATTCAACATCTATGGGCTTGAAATGCGAACTATAATACCTAGCCTCCTCCTCCTGACTGGGGGGTTTCTTTTGGTCTTCCAACGAAGACTTGTCTGCGGTACGTCGGGCAGCCATCGCGCCGAGGCCATCAAAAGCATCAGCAGGGATGCACGGGGCCTCAGACGCCTGTACGGACCGGCCAGGCAAGATCACAATGAAGGACATATCAGGAATACTTGATTGAGACAGTTGGGCATTTATGGAATGGGCTAGATGGCCTCAAGTTTGGTATTGGATCTTTTGATTTCTTCATGGCTTTCCTCCTGCTCCCTGGATCCTTTCTCCCTTGTGATCACGTAGAACTCTTCCACGCCGTCGTATACGTTCTTCCTATATGACCGGAAATCATTGGGACATGGTTTAACCTATAAAGACATGCAGATGTATACCAGAAAGACCAAAAAATAGATATATATATATATGTATATATAATAATTAAAGAGGAACCAGTTGTTTGTATACTCAGTATATACCCGTTCTCTATGGCAACGCTTTTCTGAAGACTGAAGTGTCCTGATGTGGGTTTCTCTTTTGGCTTCACAAGCCCTCTTCGCACCAGCAATTCGGGACCTTAAGAAATTCTGGCAGGCCCCAATGACAAGATGTATATATGGAAAGAGGAACATACTATATATATATATGCATATGCATGGTCCGTTTCATTTTTGTGTGCAGCCAATGTGCGCTGACCACTTGAGATCATCCTTCATCTCTTTCTCGGAAACCCAAACTTCGTCGATCGTCACTTTGTTTGACGACTTTTTTTTGATCACAACCTCCATGCGTGCTAAGAATTCATCCTGCAACACAGGCATGGCAATCAAATTGTTTTTTGAACAAGATTTGGAAGCAAAACAATATTGTGCCGATTTTTATGGATTCAACAAGCCCAACAATCCTTGGACCAATTGCAATCCATCAAGAGCTGAGCCATCTGGTTCTTGTCAGAAGTCTTGTAGGCTTCTAGCAGCCAGGCTGGAGCATTTAAATAAGTTCTTTTCTTTTTGGCTTGGCACAACCTTCGGATCTGCTGCTTAGCAGCTTCACGAAGACGCTCCTGGAGAGCATTAAGGGGAAAATTGGTTATATACCCATACCTACATCCTCACATTTTCAAAGACATATATATATATATATATACTGATATACATCAGAAAACATCCAGTATATATATATAAATTACATTCCCTTTGGTTTGCCAACACATGGAACCTACCCAAAACCACCCCAGGTTGGACAAAGACGAAGCCCATCCTGGCGAGTCTTTGGCTTCTTAGGCGCGGGTGTTTGAGGGGCCCTGGGTGTTCCATGAGGTACTGCAACTGTTTCAGCTGTACCAGGGTCATTTCCATCCAAAGACTTTGGTGTATTACTACCATTGGTCCCTTGGTCATTGTCACCCTCAGCACGTGCAACCGCTGTGGGTGCAAGTTGCGCACGGGCGGCCGTGGCAACTGGCCGGTCCGTCACCTGGCAAGGGGTCAAGAGGCTATATTGGTAGCCAATCCCAGTTAGTAAGTGGGTTAGAGTACCATAACGATTATATAAGGTATAGAGCACCATAACAATTATATAAGGTATATAGGGTTTAACCCAGTTATGTGCGTTGTATATGCATCATGTGCATTTACCAACTGCGGATGCACCACCAACCATCTCCATATGGCTTTGAAAAATATGTAACAGCAACATTGCGGCCTTAGGGGATTTGGATTCAAGAATGCTGTCATGGGAAAAGCCCTACCTCAGTTTTCTTGGGAGCTTCCGTTGTCTTGGGAATTCCCTGGCTCGGTGGATGCCCTTGTTGGGCAAGTTCTTCAGGGGTAGCCTTGGATGTGAGAATCAAGCCATTGCTGCCAAAAATAAATATATATACAATAACAACACCCATCAATTTCAATCGCACAAAACATATGGACCCTTATTACTGCACCCGTGCATATGTGCGCATTCTTCCACCCAGAAACCGGTAACGTATCCGCAGCAGTAATGTCCACAGCATCTCCATGCTGATTCCCGGCATCAGGAGCAGCTGGATCAGAGGTGTCCTGGAGGCTCTCGCTCACCTGGGCGAATGTGGGCAGAGATAAAGGTATATATATAGGGATGTATAGGAAGGGCCATCAACTTTATACCGTAAGATTGTCCATATATATTTTGAGATGAGGGACAGCATCATCTTGTTTCGCTTCCATCTCCTGAACAGGGGCCCACAAGATGTTCAACCCCGAAACTTTATTTAGTGCCACTTTTATAGAAACAAACCACCCTACATATATAACATATTTCCCCATGGATCCTCGATCATACGGAGTACTTCTTCCTCTTCTTGTTCTACTTCTTGGGCGGCAGCCAGAAGCGCATCCACCCCATCAACCAACGTACTGTTGCTCCATTGGCGGGTTGATTTTATATGCAAAGCCATCCCAACAAGACCTGCCTAATGGCTCTTTTCTTTGATCAAAAATGTGCTGCATCAACAGATTTCGTATTCAAGACTGCAAATCAAGGAATACTCATGAAAAATCATATCTTATTTCTCCAAGCGTGGTTCCTGGAGGACATCGCACATTTTCAGCAATGGTAAATGGCACTCAGACGTGCGATCCCCCTACACCGAGTTGAAAAACTCAGCATAATTGCCACCATGCCCCGGAGGGAAAAGACCCATAATTTTAGTACGGGTTAGTATGGGTTAATTATGGGTCTTTTACGGGTTAATTATGGGTTCCTAAAAACCGGGTTTTTTTATGATTTTGAAAATATGGGTTTTGTTCGGGAAAAATATGGGTTTAATACGGCTTAGGTTGGGTAAAATATGGGTTTTTCATGGTGGACCCAATAATTCCGTCTAAAAACCGTCGAAAATCCAACAAAAACATGATATTTTGCGATTTGGAACCAGAAATTCGGAAATTTTCCGGCCGGGAATTTAGGATTTTGGCCCAAAATGGTAGTTTCTTCGGAAATTGTCCGGCCGGAAAGTTTCCGATAGTTCAGATACGGACAATATTCGGAAATTTTCCGGCCGGGAATTTAGGATTTTGGCCCAAAATGGTAGTTCCTTCGGAACATGTCCGGCCGGAAAGTTTCCGAATAAGACAACTCCCTGAGACTGGTAAGAAACATGCTATAAGGAGTCAGCTATCCCTCCAGTGGCGGTGTTTTTGGCAAAAGCCCCCTCCATTCAGGAGGAATTTCAAGGTATTTTCCTAGGCGGAGGTAGGTGTAGGCTTCATCCAGCCTGGCCCATTGCAGGCCAGAGATTACATTTGGGTTTCCGCGCATGGCCTTCACAGAGTCCATGGCACGAGGCACCTGAGCTGGCAATTCTTTCTGGCCGCGGGTTGTCGTGGTGAGGTCGTCATACATGTCAACGATTGCCCAAGCGAAAGGTACAGGATACTCCCTTAGCTCAGGGGCAGGTATTGCGCAAAAATCTAATCATGGCCCCCAAAGTTCCCAATAAACAAACCATTTAAGAATGCAAAGACACAATTTCAAATTCAGTATGGGATTGCGCATCAAGAATCTCGGTTTGCTTTAACCAGGTGGTCCCCTTGTAGCACTTCTCTCCACGTGAGTTGGTATATGTCTCACAAGTCTTGATAATTGGGCGCCCCTCCTTAGCCGCCTTGCCTTTCCAGTTGGATAGTTTTCCTTTGTCCAACCTGTGAATCACACGCGAATTCGCATAGGCGTAGTGGGGTTTTGGTGACTTCGAGGAATAGTGAAACATTTTCCAACTTACCCGGCTGACCTTAGCCAACATGCAAGCCAATCTATCTCAGTTTTGATGGGCAGCAACCATGAATGAAACAACGTCTATATAAATATAGTGTATATATATATATACACAATTTCATTGACACCATCCTCAGGTCAGGACAGCTGTTGAGCCCACAGCTTCATACATGCGCTGAAGCAAATCCCCAAATGGTGGAAAATACTGGTAGCAAGATCCATTAGGCTGCTCCAGACACCAGCAACCGCCAAGAGCAGTTGTGACCATCGCCAAGTACGTTGACCTCAGATGGTTTTTGCGCAAGGGGATGCGCACATATTTAGGAACAATATGGGGTAACAAAAGTGGGAGATACCCACCGCTTCCTAAGGCAGTATAATTATATACATGCATACATAACTGCTCTGATCCCCAGACATGTTTGAGTCCTAGGGCATGATCCTAATTTTTTTTTAAATTCTATATATATATATATATGTACTATAAAAAGCATTGGCTCCGTACTTGGAATGCCAAGGAAGGGTTCATGTCTTTATATAAGTCAAGTAGCCTGGACCCCATACAATTTGAAGAGGATACTGACTGGAAGCATTCCAAGCCCGTTGATGCACACGCACAACGGCCACTTGTCCCCTGATTCACCGGTGTCCAGGAAGCACATTTCAAAGCCAACGTGCAAAGAAACCGTTGGAGGCGCGCTTTGAGGAGTGCCACCAAACATAGACTTAGAAACCCCAGCCACGGGATAGTGATGAGGGATCAAGGGATTATATAAGGGCATATAAAGGTGTGCGTGTGTATGCATGTATGTATGCATATATATATATTTATATTGACATGATTGAAGGGCATACGGCCATACAGGGTATATCGTTACAAATTGCCTTTGCATATGGATTGTGATCATATTGGCAAATTTTATGTTATTTAATACGGGGACCACCAAAAACATATTATTTTTTGGATGTGCCCCTGGTTACTAAATACTTGGGGGTTCATCCACTCTGCAGCCACAAGCGCGCCCAAAAAATCCAATGGAACAGCATCCCTATATATCAAAAGGTTTGATGTGTGGATCTAATATTCACGTCTGTAAGCCGAACAGTTGGTTGGGGGGGTATCTGAATATCAGCCCGATACCCAATCCCTTCGATAACTTTATTGGGTGTTTCTCGACCCCACAAGTATATAACATTGGCTTGTATTAAAATATTTATATCCACCCCACGTATATAACAGCTCTCGTCAACACCCATCCCAAAATAACTTCAATTTCGTATCCAACAAAGAAACCAAAACCCAGAAGGTGAGTTGATGTCCATGGGATTGGAATTGTATGAGCGCTCCTTCCGACTCCCAGAGTACATGATATCCAAGGAAGCAGTACGGATTCCAGTAAGCTTCATGCACCGACTCAAGTTCCCCCGGCCAGCGAAGAACTCAACCATCTCAAGCGTGTAGTCCTGGAAAGCCGTGGTGGGATTGGCAATGGGGAACGCCTATATAATTTGGATGCGGATATAGTTTTTTTCCCTGCTAGCTTCTGAACTAGTATAAATATAAATATAAAATATATAAATATAAATATAAATATATATATATACACGTTGACTCCATTGAACCGGAACCTGATACAGATGTTGGATTTCCATTTTATATACATGTTGAAAGACAGAAATATAGTGACAAGTACGAACTCCTCAGATTCTTCGTCGCCAATCACGTGCAGAGTCGGCGTCCATATGATCATCAATATCACCAGGGCCAGTATCTCAGCAACATTCTTACACTTCCATGTTCAATGGGATTTTCAGGAACCTAAATTGGAGGTACCTACCATATATAAGGCCTATATAAGGCCTATGTAAGGGGATATCCCCCCAAAATATGGCCTTATATGGTACAGTACCTCCATTTTAGGATCCTGAAATTCCCATTGACATGTGGTGGAAAAAAACAAGGTGCTGCGTAATCTCACTGAAAACAGGTGATTTATCTTTCCGTTGGGGCAGGAACATTCATAACGACACAATTCTAAGAACAGGGCTTGGGGGCAACCTAAATGGAGAAGCTGGAAGAAGAAGGCATCCAGGTGGGCAGGCTCACGAAAGCAACGAAAAGCATTCATGGCGCAGAAATGGCCAAAGGTCAAACCCTCAACTTGATCATCATAGCCACGTCGAATGCCATTCAAACAACTGGACCCTTCCATTTCTCAATCAATTGATGAAAAACCTCAGAGTTATGGAACAATAAAATCACTTTGTTACATACTAGCTGTTTTTGAAATTATTTGAGGGGATATACCGAGGAAACGAAATGATATATCATCAGCCCACGCAAATGATCACCTTCCAGAAAAAACTTGTCAGAAGCACCCCCTTTCTTCTTCATGAAGTTGGCCCGGACTTTCCAAGCATTGCCCCGGAGGCGAGGCATACTTTGAGGCTTCGCGCTTGAGGCCTGCAGACCTGCGCCGGGCATGAGAGACAAGGGAAGTAATCAACCAAAAAAAACATCCTAGATTCTATTGCGTCCAAAAAGTTGGCACCCCCTATATATACCTGTATATATTGTCAATAGATGCTTTGCTCAGTATGTCCCATGCTTTCAATGGTGAGAGTTTCACACCCGAACAAACTTCAAATGTTTTTTTTTCTGTGGGCACATCCGGGTTGAAATTGGTTCCCTATTGGCACAACAGGCGCTGTTTGCGGCAAAAGATACTCATGCTCGCAGCCACCCAGTGATCCGTCAACTAAACAATCCCAAAATATATATGCGAAGATTTGATACTTTGAGAACACACAGCATAAACTACCATCTTTGGATCCATGGCGGGTGTTTCTCTTCGAGCCACTGAGTATGACCCCATGAAGATTGAAACGCGGAACTTGTTTAAGCTCCACTTCGCACCCAAATAGCGCGCATCTCCAGACCCCGTTTGCTGGAGTTGGCCAAAGATCTTAATCCTATACTTTATATATCACAGTCCGGTTGCCGTCAGCCACCACTGTTCACTCGACATCCTCAGATCGATCGGCCACCAGCCGCTGCAAAGCTAGGAATCCATTGTACTTGAGCTTCTGGATCTCTGGGCCCTCATGTTCATAGCCCTCAGAACCAGCTTCCATGCCAAGTGCCTAGGATAGCAGGGAAATATTCACAGGCAAAAGATGTGTGCAGGGAATGCCTTTACAGTTCCGTAAACAACATGTTATTTTAGTTTTGCGCGTGGACGAGCTGAAGCATTGTATAAATGTGAACGTGTGGATCAAACACAACGCCCACCATTTAATGTGTTGAAACTAACGAAAACGCACTGCATTCGTCAAACAAGGTGCAGCATACTCGGCGCACTTGCAGGCCACAGCACAGCGGTATGATTCATGCGCCGTGGATGTCGTGAAGATGAAGTGATGCACGTCACGATCAAAGCGCTTCACTCCACACGAGGCACGCGACCAGTAAATGTTGTATGCAGTCCAGTCTAGGACTGCAAGCTGGCTGCGCATGCTCGCTTTGAAGATGGCTGACTTTGGCTCCACACCTTCCCCACCAAGACCACAGGCAAACTCATACAGGTCGTCCATCATTTCTGATGAGAAGAGGTTCTGGTCAATCTCATCTCCCTCAGTGTTTCGTCCCCTGGTTGATCTCCTCCTGCTTGATGCCTTTGCCTTTGCTTTCGCCTTTGCTTTCGCCTTTGCTTTTGGCGATGCCTTGGGGGATGCCTTGGGGGATGCCTTTGCCTTTGCACATGTTTTTGACTTCGCCTTGGGCTTGGGTGCGGCTGTGACCTGAGCTGTGTTTTTTCTGACCTTGCTGTGTTTCGGCTTCCTTGCCTTGATGCTTCCTTCCTCATTGCCAGCTGAGCGCAACTTGGGCCGTTTCGGAATCCAGCCATCACCCTCCTCATGTGCAGCCAAAGCATTGGAAGCATCAACACTGCGCTTTTTAAGAAGCTCACGTTTCCTCTTGGACGGGGAGGTGACACCTGCCAGACTTGAGCTGGAACCTGTGTTGGGTTTTGTCGTTTTCTTCCCTTTTTTTCCATTTCCCTTCTTGGCATTTTTCTTTCCCTTGTTTGAACGTTTTTTCTTTTTGTTCTTGGCAACTTTGTCACGGCGGGCTGCTTTGCTGGCCGACTTCATGGTCAGCTGATCGTTTCGCGTGACCACTTCTGGCTGGTCACCTTCAGTGCCCACCTGCATGCATGGGGGTGCCGCCCTGACAAAACCAAAAATGTTGTAGCAAGATTTTACCAAAGGTTGGGTGACCGCATGAACACGCTAAATTGATATAACTAACCCCCCCACTTCAAAATCAGAACGCGAACGCGCCCAATGCAGTACTTGGATTAAAACATCGAGTGCATGCGCAGTAGGGGTTTGTACCATACATGCAGATTTACACACCAAACGGCCTTTCCGTTTGCCAGGTCTTCCATGGGCGAAGCAGTCTCAGGCTCCTTGCGGGTGGAGCGGGCGGCTGGTGGAACTGAAGGTGGGGATTGTCCCTGATATTGTTTCCTCAAAGCATGTGCTGGCTGAGTAGGTGAATTGGTAGGGATTGGTGACTTCCCGGTCGGTTCGTGGTTCATGACGTCAATTGGCTGCGTGTCAACGTTGTCATGGGCAAAGATAGCACCAGCGCAGGGCTTCCCACCTGCATTGGATATGAAAAATATCCCTTACATATCTGTCCAATTCTGTCCACATAATCTCACATATATTTCCAAGGATCGTACAAGTAAATATATATATATGATTATATATGAACATTCCCCCATACCAAAATCATGTCCAAAATCCCACCTTTGTTTGAAGGCCTAGGCCGAGGTTTCATGTCTTCCTGCTTCATGACTGAAATCTGGCGGTTCAAGTCATTCTTGCGCTGGCGAATCCTAAGTGGTTTTGGCAAGTCCCTGGGAAGACCCAGCCCGTGCATGTAAGAAAGGGGCATCACAACTGCTGCCAAATTGACTTGATAGATCTATATATTTCTATTTATCGATCTATCTATACTGTATATATCTGGTCTTTGAAACAGGCACTCAAAATTATTTGAGGATCTTGCTGTTCCAAGCGTTTTTTGGCTTCAGAGAGCTTGTCCACCATCATTTTGCCTAGCCAAGGGCCGCTAGATGTCTGCAATAAGTTGAAGCAGTTTGATTCCATCTATCTATATATATATGGTTCAAAGATATTCTGCACACCTAAATCCAAATAGAGAGTGAGAGAGAGAGAGAGAGAGAGAAAGAGAGAGAGAGATATATATATTATAAATGATACATATAAAACATTAACAGAATTTGAAAAGTCACCACTTAAATGTGGCCTAAGTTGATTCCATCAATCATACCCAGGTGACTGGTAAACCTGTTCCACCCAGCTCCCCACCTTCAGCGTCCGCTTCTTGGGTCAGGACTCGAAGATTCTCCGCCTGGCTTGGAGATCCACCTTGCTCAGGACTGGGACGGGCAGACGCGGACTCTGGCTGCGGGTCGGCTGAAGGGACGTCAGGAACTTCAGCACCAACTTCCACACCAGTCACACCAGGATTGGGAATTTCTTTTCCCACAATCTCTGCATCAGACTCCTCACCATTTGAATCCTCCTCACCATTTGAATCCTCATCGTAGGCATCAGGGTCTTCAGTTTCCAAAGAGCTCTTAGAATCCTGCAGGGCCAAGAATCTTGAACAGGGTAATGAAAGCGTGCTCGTTTTCCACAGCACAGGAAACATTATATATATATGTATATATATATACATATATGCATATATACATATATACCAAAAATATATTAATACCCCATGCGTCGTAAATATATACATATACTATATATCATTCACATACCCCACCTTTGCTCCACGACGTTCCTCTGTGCGTGCACGGGCTGCTCGAACATGCTCCTGCAGGGATAAAAGTGAACCATTGTATATATATATATACGTGTATATATTTGTTGGTCTATATACATTAAGGTTATGAGTGACTGGGTTGCTACCATATATGCTTTATATACAGTATTATATTTTTTCATTACCATCTATATCCCTGATTGCGGTTTGTCAACCCATACATACTGGGAGGTCCTCCAAGAAGGGGTTGAGAATCAAACACAGCTCTTGAAATCGGTATACCTTGGCAGAGTGGCGGGAATGCTGAAAGGAAATCCGCTTTCCCCATGGCAAATAGGATCACCTCAGGGCTAGAGGCGTGAAACTTTATATAAAAAAGGTGCGTCAAAATAAAGTAGAGTGGCTGTGCTAACTTTGCACCTCCTCACTTTCATTTTGATGAAGGCAATGATCTTTCGAATAGCCCACGAATCATTATGAATAGTGACATCGTCCACCACTCGGCTGCATTTCTGGTACAAAGTAGACAACTCTTCACGGAGTGGGCCTACGGGAAGGGAAGGGTGCCCCTCCGCTTCAGCTGTGCGGGACAACAAGACCTTCAGGATGTCATAGACATGGTCATCCTTCACCACATGAACTGATTCCACGTTCGTCCCTTGCGGAAACAGTGGATCCTCCTCATCCCTCATGTAGTTTCGGATAGATTCCACTTTCTCAAGCTCAGAGGCAAGGCCTGTCAAATCAACCCTTGGTTTGTCCTCAGCCTCGTTCTCACCAATCTCATGATCAATGTTTGGATCCGCCATAGCGACCCAACCAGGCAACCACGGGAACAGTTTGATGATATGAAAATGTGCTGCGAAAAAATGGTATCACGATATGGCATCCCTGGTTCTTTCCATATCTTTACCCTGAACATCTCTATTTGGTTCAATGTGGAAAAAATGTGTAAATAAAGTACATGGTACGCATATATTTCTATATATGCACATAAGGTATATCCTCTTTGCGTGTCTCCCCAGTCGGCAGGACCCGAGCCTCAGCATCTTCGCTTCAGCTTCTGTTCATGGCAAAGATCCATGGTGCGGCTGAGTATCCACGGAGCAGTGGAATGGAAAAGTGCAGTATAGTCAGGATGATGGTGGGGTGAAGAGGTCCTATTAAATTCTTCTGTCCCCATCTCTTATCACTGAACTATTCTATGTTGTGACATCCCGCTATAGGCTGATGCGGTATATAATTTTGTCACCAAACTTTTGCTGGGATCGTTGGCGTACTCACTTCTATATAATTCTTATATATATTTATGAGATGTGCCCCCTGTATATACTATATATATATGAAATTCTATCTACTTGATCTATCCTTTGAGATCCTCCTTGATGAGCATGCCACGGAAGTCACTCGGCCTGTTGCTGAGAAAGTGGTTGAGTGATGGGGTTATATACATAAAAAAATGTGATTCCCAGTATATTATATACCAAAAGGTTACAATAAGTAACATATGAGGTTACATATATTCTCATAAATCCTGATATTCAAAAAAACCGGTTTTTTTTGAGGAAGACCCATATTTATGTCAACATGCATGGAAAAACCGGGTTTCTGAAAAAAGACCTACAAATTTGTGGGTCCATGCGGCTGATGGTATGAGTATGTTTTTAAACGGGGAGACCCCCGACTGGGAATTTTGATGGGGATAATGATAATGATCCATTGGAATTAGGGCCAAATCTATGTTAGCCCAACCTTTTGCAGGGCCGATTTTTTGGACCAGACATTTTGACGGCTCTTGCTGGTCGCCAAGCGTACCCCAAACGATGGACGACCCTCCTGCGCCAAAGGATGTGGGGCGGCCAGATGGTCCAGGGCGCGTCAAACATGATACTGAAAGTGTTTTCTTGGCAAAACAAGGCGAATGGCTACAACTTGCTACAATTATGGAACCCGGGTGTTGGGTGTCTTTGGAGACAATGTATTTACTACAACTTCAATCTATCTTCAAGTTCCTTTCACTTCTGTTTTCCCCATTGGTTTGCTCGATGTTTAGCGCTGTTCTTTCATGGCAGAAGTACGAAGAATGGGGAAACGGATGCAAGGTTCGAGGGTTCGACGGTTCGACCGCGAGGGAAGGATTGGGAAGTGAGCCAGATGTCCACGCAGCTCATTTAGCATTTGTTCCAATTATGTAATGTGGTAAACCAAATCCTTGTGAAGGTGCGGAAGAGTTCCGAAATGTTTCGAAGTCAGCAAATACCACCAAATCTATCCAAATCTCGGGTTTCCCAAGTTCAGTTACTACATGGCCCCATGGAAATCTGTTTGTTCGTGTTTAATTACATGGTAATTACATGTTCATGCCATGATTCTGCCCGCCCCGACAGATCGTGAGTACCCACTCCACATCGCCGGCCTGAGGTTCTCCCTCCGCGGCGCCGAGCTGGAGCTGGATCTGGAAAGATAGCGTGAAAAAGTGTGACATGCCCCAAATACACACAGGATTGCTGTGTCAGTTTCTTTTGGTCTTCATCCATATCTTCACATTTCGCAGTTACAGTAGAGATATGTAGAGATCATGGATCAGAGGCAATTTCGGAATCGGTAGGTTCCACTCATGTGCTGCAAACGCTTACACGTAAACCTTTGCTACATGTGGCTCAGACAAGATTGATTGAGAGGATAACCTTAGGCGAGAAGTGCAAAAACATTGGCCACGTTCGAATTCTCACCAAAAGGATGGCGAAGTCAGAGTATGCAGGCTTGCACCGAAACATCCAGCACAGGAACATTGATCTCCTATATCTATATCTTGATTTGCTATTCATTTGTATGTAACACTACGTAACATGTAAACCTAATGTAAACCATTGTGAACCAGAATCTGATGGATTTTCCATGATTTTCCCTGTTCCAAAGTTGGAACACATCAGTCGCCTCAACCGGGTTCAACCCCCGTGGATCGTCATGGACGGTTCCTGGGCAACGGTGGTGCCTGCGGCCGCCTCCAATGCGTTGCCGCGGCCTTCAACCGCTGCAGGCGCCGGGAGTTCAAAGGTGGAGCCATCAGCCGAGGATGGCACGATTTTATTGAGCCAAATGATGCCAAATGCCAATTTCTTGCAGAATGGAATTTAGAAGGAATTTATAACGGAACATATTTCAAGGTCGTTCTCATCGTGATCCACTGAGCCATTTTAACGGGTGATGCTATGGCCTAACTTAACAAGCAAGAGGCACCTGCAGAATTCGAAAGCACAGGAAATCATATTCCAAGCAAGGTTCCTTTTGGGCTAGTAGAGTCGTAGAGATACTTTTTCAGGAAAATGCACAGTTTCCGATTGTTGATAGCTTTGTGACAGAAGAGACATGCTTCAAACGGATTCAAATGGCGAACTTCAAGCTGCAGATTTCTGGCAGGAGCTTCGACCAGATTGACCGCCAGAGGGTTGGCCGGCCGATTGTTTGCCGCTTTGCGTCAAGGTTGGAGCGTATTGAGATGTTTCCGAAAACATCGACATTGGAAAGTCAGTCGTGCATTTGGCACTTGCGACTCATTTGTTCAATGTCTTTTCCCCCAACATTGCCCCAAAAATATCTGTACCTGTGGCATCCTGTGGCTTCTTTAGGTCATTTTCGCTTTTATGGGCCATCAGTTGAGGTCAATTTCACGAGCCTTTACCTTTGGGTCTTCATGGGTCTTCTAGATTTTTCTTTCACCCGATCCGTTCCCTTCCTTCAGTGGGGCCCAACAGCGACAGGTGTTCATCGCCAGACGCCGGTTGCCGCAGAGACGTTGGAAGCCGATGTGGGGAAACTCAGATGCCGGGATGGTAACGAAATCCATCGAATTCCGAAAGTCAGATGTCAGAGATGACCATTTGAAACTTTGATATGCAGTTGCAAACAGTTGCAAACAGTTGGTAACTGGGTAAAGATGGTAAAAGGAAGTGTCTCCCCAGGCTTGCGTTGAGGAAACGTGTCGGACTTCGACGCAGATGGACCTGGAGGCCGGGGGGGTTGTGACGACTTAGGGAAGGCGCATGGCTGGGCCGGGCCTCGGGCCAGTGGGCGTTGGCATCTAAGCTTTCTGTGATGAGTTTTCTAATTTTTTCCAATTGATCCCATTTCTGGTAGGACATAGTCATCAGAGAGGCCAACCCAAGGCTGCCGGAATTCAAAGCATCACTACGACAATTCTCAGCTCAAGTGTATCACAGCAGGGCCACAGGATCCACAGGTCAACTTCAATTTTTTTCCCTCACCAGTCTGAAGAGAGTTGGATGTCCCGTGGTGCATCCTGGTGCCCAAGCCTTGGAAGTGCAACTTGGGGTGCCAGGCTGGTCTCCAGCCGCAGAGGGAGTCGAGGGAGTCGAGGCAGGTGAACAGCGGCGCCAAGGAAGACGAGGACTCGGTGGCGTGGGAAGCTTTGCGTTCTGAGATGTTCTGACATATTCTGACCCCTCAAACATTTTGGTTGATCCATGTTGAAAAGCCAAGGGGTTTCGCCTAGCACTGTTGCCAAGCCGAGTTTGACATGTGCCCCTGTAAAAACAAGCATCGTTTCCACTTTTACTTCATATTTGGGGAGGCCGTGTCCAAGATAGAGCATGATAGAGCTGCTGCAATTGCACTGGCGCATTCCAATGCATTCCAGTCTCCTGACATGTTCCCAATTTTCTGTGACAAACTCAAGAATATCGAAGAAATTCGAAGAATAATGTGAATAAACAATAATAAACAGCCTTCTGTATCCACAATAGTTCCATGTCCAACAAACCATTCTCGGTACCAGAAATGGGTGGTGAAGTGGTGAAGCCATTGAATCCATTCCTCAACGGTCGTCCCCGAGGTGTCCCGAGGCAGGATCTGTCCTCGCAGGAATTGGAGCTTCTGCTGGCAGACATTGCGGCGCAGACGGCCGGGTGAAATTCCTTGGAAAACAGATCAACCAACGAGGTTTCAAGTTTGGATGGTTCGGAATGGTTCGGATCAACATTTCTGGGGTTTCAGGGTGGCAGAACCCGCAGCACGTGGTGCCGTGGTGCCATAGAGTTTTCTGCATTTGGAGCAGTGAACTCAGAACAACAACAAAATCCATCTGTGGCGATGCTAGGCGCTACTGCAACAAGAGATGCGTGAGGGAGGACTGCGGAAATGCGAGGCCGCCGTGGTGCGTGGTGAGAACCCGGGTTTCGAAGTTTCGAAGGGATTTCAGTGGATTGAATTTTCAGTGGGATCTTATGAGCAACGCTTGGGATATGACATGATATGACGATACCAACAAACATGGTGACCAAAGTCTTAAGTGCTTGAAATATCTTGAAATTGGGTATGGTTACTATGGTTGGGTACTTATGTATTGCTAGAAGAGCAACAAATCTTTGGTCGTTTCAAATGTATGTTTCCGCATTTGAACACGGACGACGTGAGTTTCTGTGGCTTGGTTTTAGGTGGGCCGTCGCTTAAGCATAGCAACAACCAGAGAACCATAGTTTCAAACGATGACTGCAGTGTCATTGCAGGGATTCCCAGGTGTTCGCTCCGCTCCCACATTGATGTGCAGGGGAAACTGGCCCGAACATAAACATAAATGTTGATAATGTTGTCTTTAGTTGCACGGATGTTGTTGTTTGTTGTGGCCACCCGCTGAATGGGGAAAACTTTGTTGTTTTTTGAAGGATGAAACGAGAAAACTGGAAACATCTCTAAACAACCCTAAAGAAGTCTTGGCGTAAAAACAGTCACGCTGTAAAAAAAATGTTGTCAATATGTCGTGGTGTGAAAACTGCTTGGTGCGAAGGTGTCCCAGTGCAAAAGGCTTATGTGTGTATGTTTTGTTTTGTTTTTCGATAAACAACTATAGATGTATACTCTAGCATCGTTGACCCCTTGACTAGCACACGGTTTCCTCAGATGGATTACATTCTAATTAAACATAAGGTGGAAGAATGCTGCTAGGGATATCAATGCCACTCATCATACCACCCTGGAATCTGATCACAAACTGCTTGGCGCAGGTGTTTGAATCAAATTTGCGCAAGAAAAGGAAAGATCCGAAAGACCGCATCCCAAGATACGGCACACGCACAGAAGAGCAAACTAGCGAGTAGCGTCAAATCACACGCAATTTATTGAATATGCAGCTATTTAGCCCTGACAGGAACCACTGTTTGATAGACTTCGCCCAATGCGTTCAAAAAGCAGCAGACCAAGTCCTGACATTGATTCCTCCACACCAACATCAGGAGTCAATCGCTGCCAATACTTGTAAAATCTTGTAATCTTTTAGAGACACGACAAGAAGCTTTACTGTACGCCATGACAATCTAGAAAGTGAAAGACCTTAACCTTTTGATCAAGCAAGGGGTACGTAGAAAGTAGAAACGAGGAAGAACACCCTGGAAGACAATTCAAAGAAATTGTTCAGGAAATATACTTACACATGGACAGCCCTCAAACGCCTGCGATCTCGACCAAAGTTAAAATACACAAAAATTCAAGATAGACGACGGATTCCTAGACATGCACAACGCCAAAAGGCCGCAGAGTACCTAGTTGACCACGGGCCACGGACAATGTACCAGAGCCAGTAAAGCATTTGGACCAAGAAAACCGACACATCCTTTTAAAAATGAAGCTTCCATATTGTTTTAATCTTGAAAAAGGGAGACTCAAGCAAATTTGAAAATTACCAATATCACTGAAACACACATTCTACTAATACAAACATATTTGCTGTGCTGACAATTAAATCGTTCGTCCCACACAGGTTGGATGGATTGTTAAAATCCACTGTTTCGGAAGTAAATCCACAAGTCATGCAATATTTCTTGCCATTTTCAAAGCTATACAGAAATGTCAGGTAAGAACCTGGGAGTAGTACTGCTAGACTGGGAAAAGCTTTTGACCGTATTGAACACACTCGTCTTTAGAAAGCATCCACAGGTTGGAAGTTCCATCACGACTTTTTGATACATGATAAGAGACATCTATAGACCAAAATTTTGTGCCAGTTGTGATGAAGGAAGGTCACATTTTTTGATTCAAGAAACTGGTATAAGGCAAGGATGTCAATTGTCACCACATTTTTTAATACTTAGTTTTATGTCACTTATGTTTGTAATGTTCTCCGACGGCAAATCTTGCCTTAACACACCAAAGCAACTGGAACCAATCCCAGGCATATATTTCAGTGAAATTCTTTATGCAGACGACACCCTCATTATTTTCGAGATCAGTGATGCTTCAATCAACAAATTGCTGAAAGCAATTGAGCTTGAATCTACACAATATGCACCTAATATCACTTCATTAATCCTCCTCCGGGAATCCTCTATAAAATCAGGGACGCCAGGGTCCGTATAAACTGATTTTTTTTATGTAAACATTTTGTTGTCAGAACACATTGGGGTCCCTGACTTTTTGATTTTATAGACTGGTGCAAGTACAGGGTACCCCCCTCCCTTTTGATTTTATAGTGATTACTATGTTGGAAGTGGACTGAAGTGGACACGTTTCACTGGAGGTTGACTTTTTGATTTTATAGATATAAAAATTGCGCTTGAGCTTTTTGATTTTATAGTGATAGTATTTGACAAGCAGGTTGGTTTGTGATGGTTTGCTGATGTTTGCATATGTTTGCTATATATGTTTGTCATTGTTTGTCTGATTTATATTAATATATATTTATATGACTACTTGTCAATCGCACACCATTTCCATTTTGCTCAAAAACTAGCTTGGCCCAGGGGTAGGGTCAGGTGACTTCAACACCCTGCTGTGTCCCTATCGACAATTTTAATGTCAATGATGCTTGTGATTTCAAAAAAAAACATGATGAAGAACCAGCAAGTCAGGCGGAAAAAATTCTCCATTAGCTCAGCGGCACAGGTGTGCAATTGTGCGCAGTACCTTTGGATCCCCTTGGATATTTCTGCTATAAAATCAGGAACGCAAGCGTCCCCCATAATCAGAAAATTATAGCGGTCACCTGGTCCAAAAAGTGGTCACAAAACAAAATTCCAAAATTTCATGTGTTTTTTTTGGGGGCTGTACACTTTGATTTTATAGAATAAAGTGATTGGTTGTGAACAAGGAATGCAATGGAAGAAGTTTTGATTTTATAGTTGATCTATTCTTGACGTAACAGATTGGCGGAGGCTGTGTTTTTGATTTTATAGTGTTTTGTTTTGTGGAGTAACAATGGATGATTGTGTGTTTTTTTGATTTTATAGGTTGTCTTTGGTGTTGTTTGATCGTGTTCAAATGTTTTTGATATTGTAGACTCAGTGTGACACTGTGGTGGTTGGTTGGCTCAAATTAAAGCCTGCAAGCTGACCAGGGGGTGCTGGTTAGCAAGGCAAACAATGTCAATCTATGCAAATCCCATCAAATCATGGTCAATGATGCTTCAATGAATCATGCACACAACGTTGGAATACATTAGATAAATATCCTGAGAGTTCATGTAACATCCTGGCTGGCACTAACACGTCAGAACAATAATTGCCTGATTGTTTTGATACCCCCTCGGGTATTTCAGCTATAAAATCAGGCGCGCAAGCGTTCCCCATAATCATAAGAGTATTGCAATCACCTGGTCCAAAAAATGGTCACAAAACAAGTATTCAACATCTGATGTTTTTCGTGGGGTCTGTACACTTTGATTTCATAGAATAGAATGATTGATTGTGAACAAGGAATGCAAAGGCATAAGTTTTGATTTTATAGTGGATCTATTTTTGAAGTAACAGATTGGAGGAGGCTGTGTGTTTTGATTTTATAGTGGGACTTTTTTTGGGGCAACAGATTGGAGGAGGCTGTGCGTTATGATTTTATAGCGGGTTGATTTTGGACTAACAAATGGATGATCTTGTTTTTTTGTTTTAATTTTATAGGTTTCCCCTGGTGTTGTTTGATAGTATTTGATAGTCTTCAAATGTTTTTGATATTATAGACACGGTGTTGGTTGGTTGGCTCAAATTAAAGCCTGCAAGTTGACCAGGGGGTGCTGGTTAGCAAGGCAAGCAATGCAAATCACATCAAATCATGGCCCACTATCTATAAAATCAAAATGCCTACCCTCTTTGTCGTTTGGCGTATGGTGTTTATGCTCTTTGCATACCCTTTCTATTTCCTATATACATAAATAATCACATATATAAATGTATTTATTTGATGGTAGTACCCATGTATTGTTTGAAATGGACATTTTAGTCAGATGAGGTCTGTGCACAAAGCCTCCAAAAAGAATACAAAAATAAAAATCTGATTTCATAGAAGGCCTTTCGTAAACCATTTGTAAGCCAACATGTGGCTTATGACCAATTCAGGGGGGCCCAGGAACCTGACCTTTATAGAGATGTTTTTTTTTGGCATGGTTCTGATTTGTTGGCCCACTGATCCTGACTTAATAGAGGGAAGGTTTTTGAGATAAATTTGTTGTGTAACCGATCTCATCATCCCGTTAACATGTTTATCAAGACCGACGGGGAATGGGTCTAACAAGCTGCCAATACAGCAGCTGACTAATGCGATAGTTATTGAGGTGATCCACATCTTAGAGATAGTGAGAATATAACCGATAGATAAATATGACAGAGAGAGCGAGGGAGAGAAAGAGAAACAGACAGATGGATAGATAGAGATGGTTTCAAACTAGTTCTAGATTGTTTCAGGTACCTCTTGGGAACCCTTCCCCAAAAAACAAAGCATTATTTTTTGTTGGTTCTTTTTTTAAGGTTGTGCGTTTGAATGCGGCCTCTATAAAATCAAAAAGTTCCAGAAACTGGAATCTGTTCACATGTTTCCCGCCTCCTTGCCCTTTAACTCAAACATCTTTGCCACTGTCCATATCGTTAGGCACAGCAGGACTCCAAAATGGACAGTTCAGGCTTGAAGGACCCCCAAACAAAGATTTTTTGATTTAATAGAGAGGTTTTGCTTGAGCACTGCGCGTGTTGACGTTGCTTTTCCATTTCCATAGCTTGAAATTGGGACGGATTGGGGATGATTCGGAAATCAGAGGGGGTACGTGCATGTACTCGGCTTCAATGTGGACCCATTGTCTTTATAAAATCAAAAAGGTTCAAAAAGTTCCAGAAACTGGACTCTGTTCATATGCTTCCCGCCTCCTTGAGCTCTAAACTCAAAAATTTGGTCAGTAAACATCCTTGCCCCTTTCCATATCGTGAGGCACAGCAGGACTCCAAAATGGACAGTTCAGGTTTGAAAGGACCCCCGGTAGCGACTAACTTGACGATTTTATAGAGAGGTTGTGCTTGAGAACTGCGCGTGTTGACGCTGCCTTTCAGCAGCTTGAAATTGGGACGGATTGGGGATGATTCGGAAATCAGTAGGGGTACTTGGTGCATGTACTCGGCTTCAATATGGAGCCATTGCCTCTATAAAATCCAAAAGATTCAAAATGTTCCAGAAAATGGACTCTTTACATCCTCCTGGCCCTCTAAACTCCAAAATTTGGTCAGTACGTGCCCCAAAAACATCCTTGCCACTTTCTATACCGCAAGGCACCGCGGACCGCAGGACTCCAAAATGGACAGTTCAGGTTGGAAGGACACCCAAATAGAGACTAATTTGTCGATTTTATAGAGAGTTTTTGCTTGAGCACTGCGCGTGTTCACGTTGCCTTACCACAGATAGTTCAGAAATCATTGGGGGTACTTGGTGCGTGTAGTCGGCGTCAATATGGACCAAATCTCTCTCTCTCTCTCACTCTCTCTCTCTTTAAAATTAAAAGTGTAACCTCCCGCCGCGCTAAATTCCAAAATTGGGTCATTACTCGCCTCCAACATCTTTATATAAAGTTTTCCATATACTGAGGCGCAACAGCACTCCGAAATGGATAACTGATAACTCATGTTTGAAGGGCCCCCGAATAGGGACCAGTGACTAATTTTTCGATTTCATCTGGAAGTTTTGCTTCAACAATCCCGGTGCCAAAAGAGTTCAAAAAAGTGTCCCAAAATGGCAATTGTTTTCCAAGTTCTGGTATTTGTTTTCATTTAATTGAACCTGATTCAGCAAACTATGGAAATTGATGGTATCCCAAGCCACAACCATCCCAAAAGAAACCTTTCTATAAAATCAAAGGCCCGGGTCCAGCTTGTATTGACATCTCTTTCAAACAGTTCCACTATAACTATAACATCAGAGACCAGGCACATGTTTCAACAGGCTTTGTAAAGCCACCATTTTGGAGATCCTGATTTTGTATTGGACTAGGCGGATGACCTTTAAGGAAAAAACCTGCACCCTGCATCTAGATTTTATAGGGAACTTTGGTGGTTACAAACAGGCATGTGTATTCATGTGGCAATTTTTTGTTTCTTGATTTTATAGAGTCGTATTTCTTGCAATCTGATTTTTATCCTGGATTTAGAAAGAATCCCAGAACGTACCCTTATAGTGGAAACCAGGTATTTCTATAAAATGGCGGTCTCTGGGAGACCCTTGAAATTCACAAGGGATCTCTCTGCTATAAAATCATGGTTGGTAGCCCCCAAAAAAATACGGCTCACAATCTATGAGAGAGCTGCCATCAAAATGAGGTAACCCAGTCCTGAATTGTATAGGGATCTTTGGGATTCATGTTTTTTCTTTAAAAGGGAAAATGTTCAAGGCTGTGTCCTGATTTTATAGGCATTTTGCAGTATTGGGGGGCAGCCTATACTTGTTAGATTTTATAGCTTTGTACATCCCTGTTGGACACTTTGATTTTATAGAGATGGCAGGGTTATTGGGGGGCTGTGCCCCACCAAATTATAGCTATAAAATCAGGGGCTCCAGGGTTCCCCCCAAATATGCAAGGGGATACCTTGGTGAGAGACTCTTGAACTACATAGAACATCATAGAACATCATAGAACATCATAGAACATCATAGAACTAAGACATACTAAGACATAATAAGACTATAATCTGGGAACAGATCTATAAAATCAAAAAGTAAAGGGACAACAATAACCACTATAAAATCAAAAGGTTGCCCTCCAACATTTGCATCTTTTGGATCCAGAAACTGAGTCCTCAAAGTGGGGGTCAGTGAACTTTTGATTTTATAGACCTGTTATGTTGCCTTAAAAGGCTGTCCAACGGTACGTTGGTGACCCTGATTTTATAGACAATCGTGTTTTCTGGGTGTTTTTTTGTGGGTTTATATATTTTTTGATTTTATAGATCATTAATCATGGTGGTATGGGTGTTTTTTTGATTTTTTAGAGGTGCCCCGGGGGGGGGGGGGCTGGGTACCCCCGTTTTATGCACTATAAAATCAGGGTCTCCCACGTACCCCCTGCTTCCCGAAGGGGGATCTTAATTAATTAATTAATCAATCAATTAATCAATTAATATATATATATATTATATATACATATATATATATATATACACATCACATCATATGTATATATATATATATAATGCATCGACCTCACCACCAGTCACAAGACATCCACGAGCAAATATCATCAAAACGGCTCAGTGCCGCGGCAACGCCAAGCTGTGTACCCAGGCACGATTCTCACAAGCGCCGCAGACAACAAGAAGAAATTTCTGGCGCTTGCAAGTAAAGATGTTTAATGCACACTTTTCTGGTACAAAGCCAATATATTAATATCTCGTGGAAACTACGAGTCTTTAACTTTTTTTGTAAAATCCAAGCTTTTATGGGCTCGAAAAAATCCAGCTGACCCAGGAGAAAAGATTTTCAAATGAAATGTGCAGGATTCTGAGAATTCCCCCTACCTTTACAGACAGAAGTCAGACGAACAAAGTAAGGGATCAAACTCATCAATGTGATGTGGATATTTCAAAGTTGTCGGAAACTCAGAAAATTCAAAATTTGAAATTGTTTGAACAGATTTTAAGGGAACCAGAAGATCAGTGCGACCAAAACTTGATCGGTTGGCTGAAAGAGTCAAAGGCGTTTATCATGCCCTCGGACAGGTACCGCCTTCAAAAATCACTTGGAAATCCAATATCTTTTGGAAGCTGCTACCTCCTGATACGGGCAGTCCCTACTAGTCGCCTACTGGTACCTTGAGGCCAGCAGCCTCCGGCCTTACAAAGTAAATCAAAAGAACATATGCATGGCTCCCGTGGGCTCCCGTGGGCAGTTTTCGCTGTAATCAAGCCCGGCTCCTTCATTGGCGCTGGACAAAAACGCTCTAGCGAAGACCTGCAGCTACGGAAAGACAATCTGAAGGCCTCATTATCTCCTATTTTCATCGTGCAACTTCCAATCGCATGGGGCGCTGTTGTTGTAGCAACATCGGGCTCACTGATGAACTCCAAAACACATGAGTTTGTGGAGTTGTCAATGGCCCTTTTCAGTTGGGCATACACCCATGGCTCCTGCGAATATTTGTGAAAGACTTGCGTGGGGTGTTTCTTCCCCCGATTTCTTGATCCGGAAAGGCTGAAGTGCAGATATCTCACACTGAACTTCAGAAGCAGAAGATTGCACGTCAGCTGTTGGAGGTGCAGCTGTGCATTTGTGTTAATGTTAAAGCAGGACGTCAGTGATTCGTGGAAAGGAACCATTTAACAGAAACAAAATACTTTGCGGTAGTTGCCAACCAGTTTGGGTGTCAGGTGTTAGGAACCATATGGAACCATTTTACTCCTGAGACCAGAGATTAATAGAGATTTGGGTTGGGTAGAACTGATGTGGTATAGCGAAATAAGTATGAAATAAGTATGAATTAGTTATATGATATATATATATATGTGTCAAAACAACTCGACCCGCTGTCAAGTCATCCTTGGAATGCAATGGATTCCAGTGTCAATAAGACAACCATTTTCATCCATGTTCACTGATACCTTCAGTGAATCCCTTCCCACGAGTGTCAGGAGCAGCTGAAAACCTTGGAATGTCAACTCTTGGATTCCACGGAGAAGGCCAGGGCATGATGGCAAGGTTCGAGAGTCAACTTGCACTGGAATTTTGACATCGACATGTGTCGTATACACGCGAAGGCCATTTGATGTTTGAAGGGGTGATGGCTTTGCGCCAGCTCTCCACCACATCCCCACAACTCCCCACATTGCAGGAGGAAATCCGATCTTTACTGAAAGACTTGGCGGCTCAGACATCTGCATGCGCAAAAGCGCAGGTCCAAAGCATAGAGTGGTTTGGGAAATTGGCTGCAGAGATGTTATTCGGATTTATTTACTTTAATGAAACACATCTGAATTGGACGAGGACCGCGTCAAACCAGTGTTGCGTTGATTAATTGATTAGGTGGTCATTTCTTTGTGTATATCAATAATAAGTTTAGCATTTAGGCCTGAGCGCTTGATAGGCACACGTGGTGTTTTGTTTGGGAATCAAATGTCACCCCAAAGTCACTTTTGATGATGTGAGGATCAGCCCTTTGATCACACCCGCACCAAATCCACGTGCTCCGAGAGCATCATATCTCCGTGCAGGAACAAGTCCAGAAAGCCTTGAAAGACATGGAAGAACTGGGCGCTGAAAATGGCGCCGTGAAGGCCAAACCCGTTGGGACTACTCTGTCCCAGCCATCGTTTGGCTCACGTTTATTCAGTTTTCTTGCGTGTCATTGTCGGTGATGCCAACTGTAGAGAATCAGGCTGGCATGCCATGAAAGCAACACAAAAGATAAGAGTCAACCCTTGATTGGAGTTTCTTTAGCTGTCATTCGGGTGGTCAGAATATGTGTTGCGAGGTCGACGAAGGTATGGAATCAACTACTCAGTTGCAGGTGGGCTCTGGGAGGATCAGTTCGGCTTTCTGTTGCGACCAGAGAAACCACGTTTCTTGTTGCATGCCATGGCCTGAACCAACTTGTTTGATTCGCACACAGCTTCAGTATCACAGGGACATGTTGTGGTTGTTTCAATCTTGATTGCTGCGAAGTGAGTGTTTGAAACTTGGTGTTTCAGCCTACGTTTTCTGCATGTAATCAATGCACTGACCATCCTGCTGGAGAAACTTTTGTGTTGTTTGAAGTCAACATGTGAAGAGAGCAGAGAAGAATCCTCAAAGAGCCAAAATGTTCGGTCAAGAAGAGCCATGTGAAATCTGTCACTGAGTGGGTCACGGTTGTTGCTTGTGGCGGTTGAGACAGGATATGTTGGTGGAGCTGCAGCCGTCAAACGACGCTGTGAAGGCTGACCCTCGGTGGTTGGAAGTGGTCCATGACCAAGTCATGACCAAATCATGACCAAATCACGACCAAATTGGTTCATGGTGTGCCATGGTGTGCTGCAGTGCTTTGATGGACATGGCACTTGATTTCCGCAGCATTCAAACTAATTACACGCATCACGCGAACGGACACAGTTCAACAAAGACTTGGACTGATTCCGCATGATTCCGCATGATTCAGGTACGTTTCTAGTAGGCGGAGTAAAATCCAGACAGAGCACGGCAAAGAAACATCTCCGTATATTGCTGTGATATTCTACGATTTGGTTTGCTTTGCTTTTCGAGTGTCCAGTTTTGTGGCGAAAGGCTTTGTTGAAGACATCCTGTGACCACCTTCACAGACAAAGAATTGAGCGAGAGATACTCGAGGTCAGTCCGGTTGGCAGGGCCAGAGTTGGAGTCGTGGAATCGGTTGAGTTGGACAGTTGGAAGTGGATTCTCGAAGCGAGATCTATCAAAACATGCACCGAGCTGAATCGGATTTTTTGACCCTGGATCCGTCATATCGTGGATGGTAGCAATGCCCTAGCCTGTGTCGCCTTCTTGATGTTACAAGACTGCTGCCATCATCCGCTAAGAAGATAGCCATGGCAGGTTTATAGGGATTCGGTTAAGCTTTATTTTGGCATGCAAACAGGAGATTGGACCCTTTCAACCGGGTACCTTGCCACCACCATGAGGCAAAACTTCGATCTATGGAATGCCAACTTTCAGATGCGACCAAGCAGGACGCAGCCGGGGGGCGTGGGTTCAGTGCGGGCAAATGATTCAAACCGTTTTCTGAACGAAGAGTGGTTCCATTCTTATTTCTGCTTTCTTCTTGGTCTTAGAGTTGTTTGAATCTTGCTTGTTCAGTGTTGCGCCAGACCTAGTGGAAAGTGAAGAGAGTGTCCGTTGGAAGTCGAAAGTTTGCAGAAGGGCAGTTGTCGACCACACGTTTTTTTTTTTGTACAGCAGAGCAGGATGAACTGAAGACTTTGCTGCGGAACTTTGCTTTGTATACCGCTGTGAACCTTAAAGCCGAGGTGCACACCGTGGAGTTGCTGCGGATTAATCTGGATGAAATGTGGAGTGACAAGTTTCCGATTGGCATCCCAATACAGATAAAAGGATGCGCGATTTGTCATGGCAAACCATATCCCAGTATTCGACGGATATCGGGTGTCAACCAGCTGGTCCTGCGCAGGCAGCAATCCAGGCTGTGCTGAATGACCTGGAAGCGTTGAAGGCTTCGAAAGACCTGGAGGCGACTTGTCACGGTCATAAAATTTGGGGTGTCAACCCCATTTCTATAGACAGACCTTCATTTGCGTTCCAATGCTTTCGACTTCGTTGGCTCCTGGTCGAGCAGACTTGGCAGCTGCTTTGGGTCCAACCCCAACTGGTCTGCGATCGTTATTTCATCCACTTCCATCCCCTTGGTGTTGTCTATGCGAATTAAATATGCTGCCTCTCCGGGGAGAGCCTTCGTATCTGCGCGTCCCGTTGCCGGTCTTGCGAATTATCACCGTAATTCTGAGGGAAACCCAAAGGGCCCTGTCAACAGAATCCAGTGACGTGAATGTGTGGATCAATGTGGTTTCAAAGTTTTCACTGTGCTCGGGGTTCGGATTTTTCTTGAGAGGTGCCAGGATCCTGATGTTAGCATCGGTGTCGGCTAGGGAGGGCAGGTTGGGGTCCTTTAACAAAGATCTTGAAGGCAGAAGGGGTGTTGGGGTGACCTGGGCGGAATTTAGATGAATTGAGACACCATGGCCGCCCAATATTTGTTGCAGTACTGTAACGTGGTCGTCTTCTTATGTCTTCTTCACATACCATGGATATCTATGGATATCCTTTCTGAACATGATTGTGTATTGGTGAAACTTGAATCAGAGACACAGATTTTTGGACATGCAGGTATCAACCATGCAACTTTTTGACTGACTTGATTCATGCGCCAGACCAGGTGGCAATCGCATCTTTATGGGCTCGGCGCTTGGAATCTCTTTTTTCTTGGTTGGGATCCTTGATGTGGTCTGAAAAATAGGGTACCCCACGTGATTGATCACGGTTGATGATTTGTACAATGATGACTTGGGGCTTGAGTTTTCGCCCCGGGATCCTCAGAGTCACGTGCCCAGGAGACGCAAAGGCTGTGGCAGCTAAAGCTGAGGAGCGGTTGGGCCGTGGTCTCGGACGGGCCAAGATCACCTGCAACGATACGTTGATCGTTTTTTTGTGGAACATATATTCAGAGGTGTGACAAGAGAAGGGAACAATGAACTCCGGTCAAGATGTGTTCTACTCGTTTGAACTCAAACCACAACTATTGGAACAGCCAATTCAATTTCTTGGTGTATGCCCCATTTTCAGAAACGTGTTCACTCCCCATTCGTTCACTTTTTTTTTCGACACAATCAATCAATTCTCCATATTTTTCATCAATTGGCTGCCCCCATTATCCATATTAAACATATTTATCCATTGGAATATCCCATGAAATCTCCATTTTTTCCATGGTGAAATCATGGTGAAATCCAATTTTTGAGGCATCGACTCTCCCATGATATCATTGAACTCCACGTCCGATCCGGGCCCGGATGGGGCTCCAGGAGGCCCCGAAAGGTGCCACCGCGGATGCCACAAACAGCGGCCCGGAACCGAAGAACCGAAGCGCAGGGAGCGGGTTTCACACGGCAGCCGGGCAGCCAGAAAACATGGAGATTTCATGGAATATATATATATATAATATGTTATATATATATTATATATATATATTATATATATATAATATATATATATAGAAATTATAGAATTTGTAGCTCAAAAGTGGGATTTGACTTGATTTAACTTGATTTAATGAGAATATTTAGAACAGGGATTTCATGAGATAGCTAACATGGGGGATTTCTAAGATTTTAAAACGGTAAAAATTGGAGCCAAGAGACGTCTTCCGATTTTTCCGTCCGGATCTACGAAAGCCACGGGTTGCCCAGGCGAAGCCCAAGCCGCAGGTGCGAAGGACGATTTGTTGGGCCGTGGCCTCAGAGATCCGGAGATGTCGGGACGGGACCCCAATGGAAATCATATGGAAATATCATGAAATATCTGGACCAGCTAAAGTCCAATATTTTCATATTTCACAAAATTTCTAATTATTCTCTCAAATTGTTATTCATTTCACAAAAAAAATCAAAAAAACACTTTTTTTGGGGTACCCCCTGTTTGGACACACCCACATGGAATGATCCGGTGATCGCTCCCGTTTTTATGTCAGACAAACATAGATAGTCAAAATTCAATTGTATCATTTGGGTAACCAGCGAGAGCTGAAACCCAGGCAAACCAGGTTTTCCAACTGCAATTGAGATGTTATCTCCAACTGAAATTGAAACTATAATCATGTGTCATCATGTGTCTAGTTGTAAGTTATTACATGTTATTACCCTTATTGCCGTCCATACATTTGTTTCCTTCTGACAGTGTCTTTTAAGACCATTTCGGCGTGGCGATCACATCAATTTCACCGGAACTCGATCACATCACCTGTTACTTCGTATTTACTCATGGCAACCTCACCATTCTTTGCCCATTCCACATCGCGAAATGCTGCAGCAAGTGAAGTCCTGGGATGTGCTAGCCTGAATATGTTTGTAAGGTGAACATTCCATTTGCAACATTTTACAACAACATACAATATATAATATATAAATATATAAATCTAGGATCTCCTATATTCTGATATTCTTGGAAACTAAATGTAAACTAGCCACACAAAACCACCACCCGTGTCCGATCCAAGACGCCTTGTCTCCCCGAGAACGGATAGAGCTCCACGAAGCGATGCTGAATTGCGAATCCTCCAAGGCTTTGGGAGACTGTCCGGAACCCAACTGAGCAGTTTGGGAATTTGCTTCTCGAAATTTGTTTCTTTGAAGTATAATCACCAAATTGATCCAAATTGAACATGGCGGACGAATTTCTGGTGGGCAGTAGAAAGGAGCTTTGTAATCCACTTAAATTGTAGTAACAATACATTATCATGTGGGAGGCATGGGGGCTTAAGCTTAAGGATGTGCTCCTTGTCTTGACCTGCATGCATGATCCATCGACTCCAGCTCGCTGTCCTCCCGAGGTCAGAGAGTACCAGACAGTGGCATGGACCCTTAGAGCTCCCAAGCACGACACGTGGTAAGCGGCTTGAGTGGAATGCTTGTTTCAACAAAGGTCTGACAAAGGATGACACAGGTCTTTTTGGTTCCTGTACTCGGACAGTCATTTTCGAAATGGACCCCACGAAACTGTCACGTACTGTCACTATATGAGTTGGGTGCGGTGCAACAAGTTTTCATCTGTGAATCTGTTGGCCACGTTGCTGTTTTTGTCTCGCCCCACCAAGGCGCTGCTCCCCCGGAATCGGCTGGACAAGTTACTCGACTGCTTTCGTACAGATTTTAGAGATAGAGATGGACGTCGATGTTTAGACTTTCAACATGACATAGATGCAGAACCGTTTGTAGCTGTGAGGGTGAGACCATTTTTTGAACGCTTGCCTATTATAGGCAGGCACTGTGCCTTGTTCATTGTAATGGCTGGCGACATATATAGATATATATATATGATATATTATGATATAATACCAGCACCCTCCAAGGGGTGCTTAATGGTTTTCTGAAATCTGTTTATACAAGGGGTGCCTAATGGAGACCCCTTACAAAACCATGTTTTGAGATTGATGTTTTTTCACAACTCCTTGGTCATACCCTTGAATTGTATATGATCAAAGTTATAACTCACCACAAAGAGCCGCCACACCTGCTCGACGGGCATCTCCCTGGCCTTTATCCACTTCGAGCAGGCTTTGATCCAGGCGCGGGCCAATTTGGGCCAAGTGAGTTGAGAGGGCCAAACCAACACAAGTTTTGAACATTATAAATAACTCAGTTAAACCATTTTAAGTTTCAGTCCTCTGAACTATTTGTAAGCTGTCGAAGCCAGCGGACACACACATATGCGGCGTACCGCTCACAAATTTGATATGAAAAATTCTGCGGAGCTGACAAAAGTGCTAGACGCTTACACTTTCCGACGAAGTCTTCGTCGTCGTATGTACTGAGAATCAAAGGATTCATAAGGGGCGCTTGGTCGATGACCAAATGATCAATCCTTAGATTTGCAAAGAAACCATCTTGCACCATTTGCGTTCCCTAAACATCCCTAAACATAAAACTTGGCCGTACATTTGTAAAGGTTGTCAAGGATCTGATGAATTTTTGGACGGATTTTCCACAGAAAGCGTTCATTGTCGATTGCTTCTCGAGCCAACCCTTAGATTTGTTTTCAAGACATGTTGCGCTCACATGTTGTAACTCCACAATGCACTTGTGACATCACTGGACATGTTTTGAGATATTTTCAGCATTCCAATGCACCAAGTAACAATTCAGCGCACAGTGAACCAGAAAATTGGAACGATTGAGCACTGAAACATTGGAGGGTTCCAAAATGCAGGATGTGTTCCGGGAACGTGAAATGCACGATCTCATTGCCACGAGGTTGATAAATACAGAGGCACGATTCCTAAGCTGATCCCCACTGTTCTCTATGTAGAAAGGGTCTAACGAACAGCGATACATGCACACATGCACACACTTTGAAGAAAAGAAACATAGCATGCTGATCATCAGGGCAAGCATGTGCAACAGCAACAGTCACACCCTTCAGCCATTTCGCGAGCACAGTTGCTTCCTTAGATATTGGCTGCAACAACATGGCAAAGTAATGTGATTAGCACTTTTCTGATATTCTTGGTATCAATTCCGCTTGACAGACAAGGTACAGCACCATTGAAATGTTTCTGCACAAGGGTGGGGTAGTTGTTCTTGCCCAGAGGATACATTTGCTTCCTCAGTATCTTCCACTAATCATTCCACATTGCATGCTATAGGTCATCCCGATAATGACATTCAAGATGAACGCACTGCAGACAAGTAGCACACTAAAAATCTGCCCCCGATTCCCTGGGCACCGTGTCTATGAGTCTATCTTCAAAAAAAAACATGTTGATGTGTGTTGAGATCTTGAGTTGTTGCACCTTGCAGCGCGCGCACTAATGCACAACCAGATGCCACCAAGTGACGCACACGGTGTTGTCGACACTCGGCAGTAAACTGGACATAGGCTTGTCGTAGTCGTTCATCCTGGGTGTCGCCCTGCCATATCGTCTCATCTTCAGTGAGCTCAATGAGGGCCTCAGATATCAGTATATGTCTATCATGATTATATAAACTGGATTAAACTGATTAAACCCTGTGACTTTGGGAGGAAACATTACAACACATACAGGCAAGAAACATAAACACATATTTCAAAGATTTTCAAAGCACGAGAGAAACATGTTGCACTAAGGGTTCAATCGGGAATCACTAGCACTGACCTCTGGGACCAGTGAAAGGTCTACAAGGTGCAGCCAATCACACAATACTCGCTCCACATCAAACCCAGGGAGGCGTAACCAGCTGTTAGGCCTACAACCAGTCAACATGAAGTCCGTGTTTGATACCAGAGTCGACCTGTGTGGTGCATGTGGTCCAAAGGCTGTGTACAGGTTGTCCCCGGATGATGAGGTAGCACAGCAATACATACACACCCTGTCAGATACCCCAGAGGTGTTCAGTTTCAGAGTTCGCTGAAGGTACTTTTGGTCTCCTTTCAACGCTACAAGTACCCCAAAGTATTCACCACAAATCCTTTCGCCAGCGATGTGCTGGGGTCTGTTCCACTTCTTCCCATGGATGTCAACATCAAAATATCGACCCTCCTGAAGCTCAGAAAGCCCATGCACTACCCAGGCATCCAAGATGTCATAGGTTTCACTGATGGCCCGCGTTGTGTCCATCACGTAAATCAGCATTCTCGTGTCCCATGAACTTCGTGCAGGTGCTAGGGGACTGGCAATAGTGACACAGCAAAATGATCGTCGACGGTAGTGGTCAGCGTCATCCCCATGGCATATGATGGGAAAGCAGTACTCCAAGTTGATGTCCTTATTTCAAAATGCAATGCACAGGTTAATGTATGACCCACCACAGGCTCATAGGTAAGCCAAAATGCTGACCAGATGCCTTTTTTGATAAGATGGGGTGTGATTGAAACCAGTGGGTGCCCTTCTGATTTTCCCAGAACTCAGCAAGTGCCTCAGGTAAAAGAACTGCCGAATGTTAAGTTCCACTGTTTGTGTGTCCTTTCAATGTGTTATAAAAAAAACAGTGCTATATTTCAAGGCACTCCTGGGGGACCAAGCCATCGGTCACGAAACAAAGTTTGATCATATCCATACATGGAACCGATCCTCAACATGATTGGAACGATGGCATTAAAACGAACACATGCACACACACACAAACGCACCAAACACTGCAATGACAATGCAGGTTAGCTAATTGACAAGAAACACTTCGCTCGGGAGAAACATGGACCAAGTCCCCAGGAGATAGGGAACAGGTTGGCTTTCATCTTTCAATACCAGCTCCACCCTTGGAATCACAGAGGCATTAATTTATTAATGGAACAAACAACTATACCAATAATCAACAGCCAGTACATGAACAGGAGTGAAACATGTACAATAAGTTATGTCATCTAAGGGACTGCATTGGTCGCGGCATCATTGATCGCCATCGTTGTCGTTGTAACCATCTCCAAAACTGTCGTCCAACATTCTTGGTGTCCGAATCATCAATTGATACTAGATCTTTGAGGTTCCTCCTTAGATCAAAATATTGGTGTTTGAACATGTTCAAGAATGTGTTTTAACTGACACATGTTGAATCCTAGAGTCGGAAGATGCCGTCCAGGGATACGCTTTCGAAGAACTCGTAGAAACTTCACCAAAGTTGTGACACTTACCTCAGTTGCCAACATGTTGAACAAAATGTCGATCCGTTTTTGTAAGAACTATTTTGTTCGAGCAACAACTTTATATTGCAATCAAGTTACATGGTTGGATAGCACCAAAAAGTCTTCAACAAGGTCCATGAGCCACCCGGAAAGCTGCACATTTGTATTGGTTTGTACGTTGATTCAAAATGATAGTATTACAAATTTCACCGTTTATTTTGATTGTCGACAATGCTGAACATGAAATGTTCCCACAACATCATGTATTGGATCCTGGCACCTTGATCCTGAAGACAGTAGATATCAAATTTCAAAATTGTGGGGATTGAAAAACAAACCCAATGAGGATTCCTGCCCAATAATTTCCCAGTTGTTGGAATGGACCCCAATACCCAATTCAACCGATAGATTAGTGGTTTATACCACCACCACAACCCCAAGTGATTTACACCATCCTCTCACTGCTTCGCCCTGTTGACCACTGGCATGTGCGGCTCATGTTCCCCTTGGAACCACCGCCACTGCACAGGCCCAAGTGGCAAGACTCAGGAATTGGCCAGGCATCCCAGTTGTTTCAGGAAGCCCGGGTTTGGCATAAATGAATTGGGAAAACCCCTTCAGCTGGACATGTTGGGCCACATTTACTCATCCTTTGACTAGTATAACATAGTAAAACACGTACTATATCAATAGTTATCACATAATGCAATCAATGTTGATTGTTAAGTGTATCAATGGGGCCCATTTGCACAGTAATAATGCACGGGGATATGATTATAGCATTGCAGTGCTGAAAGTTGGCAGCATGCGATGACATGTGTATTTTGCCACCCATCTCAACATTCTACAGAAACAAATTCCATCGTAATTGAAATATATTTTGAACAATTAAGTTACTGTAACCAAATATTGGCAGTGGCAAAATTCGACTTCACTGGGTAAAATGCGGTGAAGGCCATACTGATGGATCCAAAAAGAATCAACAACAATTAATGGATATTAATGGATAATGTTGAAAGATTTTTTTCCAAAACACGATCCATCATCAATTGATTTTGTGGGGTGGCAGCCTGTGGCCACACGGGTCTACTGCATGGGACTCTTCATGTTGAAATCATGACACTCGCATAAATGATATCAACACAAATTAGGACATCTTAATTTGAGTCCTCATCATTGTCGGAAACATCATCCTTGACCTTTTCAGAGGCCTTGTGTTTTTTCCTGATAGGACCTCGTGTTGCATTAATCCTACGTCGGGCATCCTTCACATCAGTATCTACGGGGGAAGCACATTTCTTCTCAGATTCAAGACTCTCCAGGAATGGGACGGCTTCGATATTAGACAAGGGTGTGTTGACCAACTCATTGACCCTTCGCATGGATGCTTCAGCAGGAACCTTGTGAGCCTCCAACGCTTGAACCTAGGATAATGAAAGACTTTCTGAAAGACTGAAAGCTGAACAAACAAACACTTGAACTCAACATGTGTATAAGATATACAATTTCTATAATAGGTGGGTTTCTCGATCTAATGTGTGTTTGTTCGCCAATGCAGTCTAGACACAAGTTCAGAGGAGTTCCTGACTGCATGAGCTCCAAGCTCTTCGATGCACTGGTGGAGGTTGTTCCAGATCACTTTCCACCTTGGATCGAGGTAAGCGATTGCATTATATTGTAAAGGATTAGGTCGGGTAAGAAACAATGATAAATCAATTGTAATTTGCAAAAGTAAACCCTTTGAGATAAGTAACTTCTTCTGCAGTTTCTTCATTTCAGCCAGAGCCTCTTGCTCTGGTGTCTTTTCTTTTTTTGGTTTCTTGCTTTTGATCACTCCCGTGGCTTGATCTAGGAATGCAACATCCCCAGTCAATCCCCCCAGCTGCTTACTCAGCATTCCTTTTGCAGCAGCGTCCTTGACCCGCCCTGACAAGGATGCCTCAGATGACCATGATTGACATGTGAATCCATGAAGATGTACCTTATATACAATATACAATTCAAACATTCAAAAAATGATCAGTAAGGAAACTATTATAGAAGATTTAAATGGTCAAACATGTCCACAGAAATATATAATATCAAGTTGCTGAACTGCATGTTTCAGTCCCCTTGGTGTTGTCTTCGACAATCTCTCGAAGGACTTTATACATGCGTGCTTTCTTCACATTCGGCGCCTCAGGCAAAAAAGGAAGTTTGATTTCGAAGTGAACATCCCACCAATCCAGGCCTGTGGGTGGGGAATGCCGGTCTGTCCTGGCGTCAGTGGTGACACCATAGAATGAGTAAAATGGAAAATCATGGATTTCGGGAAAGGAAGGTTGGACCAATGATTGGTAATGAAGAAGGATCAAATATGATAAGGGTCCTTTGGTCAACTCAGCGATGAATGCCTTGCTCTCCGCACTCTTTCCATAGAGTTTCTCAAGCTGTAGAATTGTCACCTAAGACCAAACGACATTGTTGATTTTTCAATTACAAATAACATGATCTTGTTTGAAACACACATGGTGTCTATATCAAAAATTGGGGATCCCACGGTCACATAGCGATCCGTGCGGAGATTGGCAACCCAAACACGATATCGTTCTTCGATCTCGATGTCACCCAGAGACTGATTTTGCACCCATGCTTTCAGCATGGAAAACCTGGGCGAAGTGACATTGGAGGATAGAGCAATGGGAAATCTTTCCATGATAAGGGGAAAGTAATGGAAAACATATTGCAAGTAATATTTTATTGATGGTAGTTTTCGATGAGTAGCCGCTCCTTGTCATTCGCTAAGCTAAATTTTGCCACCAGCTCTGGAGAAGCCTCTTTGATGATCGCTCTTCGAAGAGCAGCATACTGGCGTTTGCGCTCCTAAGTTTGATTTTCGTTCAAGTACATTGAATATCACCGATATGAAATTCAAGGGTTATCAACACTGGTTCGGATATCTATTTCCTCAATCAAATATCATATCCAAGCATCCGAGTATTCCATGTCCGATGGTTTCTGCATCGCTTGGATTTTGGCCTTCTCCTCATCCGTCAAGCTCTTGCACCGAGACACCCTTTCAGATGATGGTGGGCTTGAAGTAGTGTCGGATGCCTTAAGATCAGCAGGAGTAGTAACATGAATACATCATTAAATTACTTCTATGGGAAATAGGCTCAATGGGGGTAGAAAAAATGATTGCATCAAAAATACCTGAGAAGAGAAGAGCTGTCGACGGCATGATGGAGGGGATGCCATAGGTTCCAAACTCGCCAGTGTAGATTGTCTTTCGATCAACATTTCCTGATGGCAAATCAGATCAATATCGAATGTTGGAACACATAACTGGGTCCATATAGCCTTAGTAGCCTAATTCTTTCAATTAGGTTTGTTGACCCAACATATAATCACATTGTGTCATGCACACTGTGTGTCGCACCCCTTCCCCCAGTGTCCTTGCTCTCCATTTTTTTCAGTGGTTGATCCTCAATCTTTGGCTTTGAAGCTTGGGGTCCAAGATCATCAATGGCCTTCCTCTTGTTGGAAACCTCATCCTTAGGGTCTGCAGTCTTCGCTTTCTTTGAATCCTCATCCAACACTTTTTTGTTCTCTGTCTTTCGTTTTTTCTCAGGTCCATTGTCGGACGTGGTTCCACTCTGTGCTGCTTCTGTGTTAGCTGTTTGTGTATACTCCCCCGTGCAGAGCCAGTGATAGAAGCTTGCAAGGTGTGCCACTGGGCTCTCCTTCCCAAATGCCTTCCGTTTCAAACCTGTCAACTTCCTGAATTCGCTAAACTCTGCATGCTGTTTGGCTTTCTCAACTTTTTCAGCCAAATCCTTTGCAGACAGAGTCAAAAAACGATCTGTCCAAGTAACTGGTGGCAATGGCTTCCATTGTCCATCCAATCTAGCAAATTCTTTGTCCTGTTCAGTCAGTTGAGTCTTCTTGTCCAGCAGCATGTCGTCTTGTGGCTTCGCATCCTTCTGGGCCTGCTTCTCTTCGCCTGTCTTATCTTTCTTCTGCTTTTCCTCTGCCTTCTCCTTGGACTTCTTGTCAGCCTCCGTCTGGTCTGGAGATGCATGTGAGCTCGATCTGCTGGTGGTGGTCTTGTCACCTGGGGTGGAATCAGCAGGCTGCTTCTGTCCTTTGCTCTTCTTCTTGGGTCTCTCCTCCTCTGCATCCTTCTGCTTTGTCTCTTTCGCTTCTGTTGGCTTCACATCTTCCATCTTCGCCTGCTTCTCCTTGCGTTTCTGCTGCTTTTCCTCTGCCTTCTCCTTGGACTTCTTGTCAGCCTCCGTCTGGTCTGGAGATGCATGTGAGCTCGAGGGGCTGGTGGTGGTCTTGTCACCTGGGGTGGAATCAGCAGGCTGCTTCTGTCCTTTGCTCTTCTTCTTGGGTTTCTCCTCCTCTGCATCCTTCTGCTTTGTCTCCTTCGCTTCTGTTGGCTTCACATCTTCCATCTTCGCCTGCTTCTCCTTGCGTTTCTGCTGCTTTTCCTCTGCCTTCTCCTTGGACTTCTTGTCAGCCTCCGTCTGGTCTGGAGATGCATGTGAGCTCGAGGGGCTGGTGGTGGTCTTGTCACCTGGGGTGGAATCAGCAGGCTGCTTCTGTCCTTTGCTCTTCTTCTTGGGTTTCTCCTCCTCTGCATCCTTCTGCTTTGTCTCTTTCGCTTCTGTTGGCTTCACATCTTCCATCTTCGCCTGCTTCTCCTTGCGTTTCTGCTGCTTTTCCTCTGCCTTCTCCTTGGACTTCTTGTTGGCCTCTGTCTGGTCTGCAGATGCATGTGAGCTCAAGGGGCTGGTGGTGGTCTTGTCACCTGGGGTGGAATCAGCAGGCTGCTTCTGTCCTTTGCTCTTCTTCTTGGGTTTCTCCTCTTCTGCATCCTTCTGCTTTGGCTCTTTCGCTTCTGTTGGCTTCACATCTTCGATCTTCGCCTGCTTCTCCTTGCGTTTCTGCTGCTTTTCCTCTGCCTTCTCCTTGGACTTCTTGTTGGCCTCTGTCTGGTCTGCAGATGCATGTGAGCTCAAGGGGCTGGTGGTGGTCTTGTCACCTGGGGTGGAATCAGCAGGCTGCTTCTGTCCTTTGCTCTTCTTCTTGGGTTTCTCCTCTTCTGCATCCTTCTGCTTTGGCTCTTTCGCTTCTGTTGGCTTCACATCTTCGATCTTCGCCTGCTTCTCCTTGCGTTTCTGCTGCTTTTCCTCTGCCTTCTCCTTGGACTTCTTGTTGGCCTCTGTCTGGTCTGCAGATGCATGTGAGCTCAAGGGGCTGGTGGTGGTCTTGTCACCTGGGGTGGAATCAGCAGGCTGCTTCTGTCCTTTGCTCTTCTTCTTGGGTTTCTCCTCTTCTGCATCCTTCTGCTTTGGCTCTTTCGCTTCTGTTGGCTTCACATCTTCGATCTTCGCCTGCTTCTCCTTGCGTTTCTGCTGCTTTTCCTCTGCCTTCTCCTTGGACTTCTTGTTGGCCTCTGTCTGGTCTGCAGATGCATGTGAGCTCAAGGGGCTGGTGGTGGTCTTGTCACCTGGGGTGGAATCAGCAGGCTGCTTCTGTCCTTTGCTCTTCTTCTTGGGTTTCTCCTCTTCTGCATCCTTCTGCTTTGGCTCTTTCGCTTCTGTTGGCTTCACATCTTCGATCTTCGCCTGCTTCTCCTTGCGTTTCTGCTGCTTTTCCTCTGCCTTCTCCTTGGACTTCTTGTTGGCCTCTGTCTGGTCTGCAGATGCATGTGCACTCAATGGGCTGGTGGTGGTCTTGTCACCAGGGATTGTCTTCGATGCAGCAGGCTGCTTCTGTCCTGTACTCTTCTTCTTGGGTTTCTCCTGCTTTGCATCCTGCTGTTCTGGCTCATTCTTCTTTGACATTGTTTCATCTGAACTCTCATTGCTGGGAGTCGTCATCTCACCTGGTGTTGTTGTAGAATCATCCGATGTTGTACTATTCTTTTCTTCAGACTTCTGCAGTTTCCTTCTCAAGCTCTCCAGTTCAGCCATTCTTTGCTTCTTCAATTTGTTGTTCAACTCGTCTTCTGCCACAGCTTCTATGGCCTCCTGTCTCGCCCTCTCAAAAGCTTTGAACGCCTCTGTAGGTTCCACAGTCGCCTTCTTCTTTCGCATCCGGTCTCCCTTTGTAACAGCCATTCCTATTAGCCTTTGGAAACTCGACGCCACAAATTTACCCTTAAGCCAAGATGTTATATTTTTTGAATTTTGTGTTTTTCCACTGTTTGTACAAATGTCCATCAAAATCGACACGCAAATGACACGTTTTTTCAACCATGAAATCCACCCGACACGTTTCTAAGGGGTCACAAATGGCTCTAAGGGGTTACTAATGGGCACCCCCTCTGAAACCACTGACACGCAAATGACACGCATTGACACGCACAGAACTGTGCGTGTCCTCCCAATTTTTATCCCTGGCAGGCAATTCTGAAAGTTTCCCGATTCAGGTCAGGGAGCTCAAATTTTGGGGCCAGTGGTCAGCAGGTCCTGGTTGATTCGTATCCCCTTGGGGTTGTTGAAGAATAGAGAAACTGTTTAATTGTTGATGACATGTTTAAACCAATTTGATTCCACCCCAGGACCCAAACCACGACCATCTAATTACTTACAAAAGGTGACACCATTAAATGGTACTTCGATCATTGCATGGCCTGGGTATCCTTCTCATTTTGCCAGGAGGCTACCGAGATATCTTCACATTGGCAGTCTTTGCAAATAGCACGAAGTCGAACATCATCTTTCCTGGGATAAGCACATAAGAATGGGCGAGGCTATGATAGCTTAGGGAAGCAAACAAACATGATCATCGTAAACGAGTATAGCTAAGGGTCTTTTCCGTGTCAAGCCATTCAGCAATGATTTCCATCCAGCAGCTAAGACAGATCCGGTCATGTTTGGCTAGCTCAAGTTCTGCCACATAATCCTCAAGGCCTCTTGGACACTTCGGCATCTTCCCCTGTACCCGGGACTACTGATCTGATCTAACTGCGATAAGCCAACTGCCATAGGATACATAATCAGAACATGTCATATGGCAAACGGACATCCTGTATAACCACATTCCCAATCAAGTAGGCATATCAATGGCCAGAATTCTTTGGGTAAATTGATTTGTTCTTATAGCCCTACATTATGTTTTTACGGGAGTACTATTTGGTATTCCCCATACCTCCCTGTAAAGTAGTGTCTGTTGTCCATTGTAATGTATCTATTACTTCATGGCTCAAGGAAAATAGTGTGCGTGCTTACTGGCTGATTGTGGCTTGATTTCCTACAAATATAGGTTATCAGCCGTATCGCCAGATACTTTCCTTTTGTAAGTAAATGTCTGCCCCCTTTGGAAAACCATCTCCAGAGGGCTCGCGCGATTCCGGGATCCATCAAGCCATGGCGATCGAGGATGCAGACAATGGCCAAACTGGAAACAATGCACCAAGTCACACAACTTCCCAGACTCCTTCAGAACGCTCCCGCAGTGATAAACGTGAGGTCCGTGTCCCGCTTCCACCAGGCGCCGTTGTGCCCCAAAGTGGAGCCCAGAGGTTTTCACACCGTGGATATGACTTTCACGCATCCCGGGAGGGCATGCCTGCCGGCTCACATCATGTACAATCCAACACTGTCGAGGTACACCACCATGAGATGACTGAGGTGAATAACACCATGAATCTACGACAGGTACAAAACAATGAAGTGTACGTGAATTCACACGACCCTGCAATTACACAGATGGTAGAGCAGGTTGCCGAAGCACGTCATCGAGAGGCATTAGCCAACACTGAACACATGGTGCAATCGATGATGTCCGAAATGAGCGGTAGGTTCCATGCAGAAGAACAAGCTGCGAGTGCCCGGATGCAACAGATGATGTTGCTCGCAGAGAGTCGGGAAAATCAATTTCGTGAAGAATTGGCCCAACAAGGGGAAGTATATAAAAGGGTTTTAGACGGAAATGCCAGACAGTCAAATGCAACGAAGGAACAACAAATCCAATCACTCAGGGATCACTATGAACGCCAGGATGAACATCGTAAGATGCAGATGTCCCAACTTGAATCCATCATCAAGCAACAGAGTGAGCAAATAAAGGCCCAACAGTTGCAAACCGAATCCATGAACATGAGGATGAGTAAACTCCTTGACACAATAGGCCCAATGCCGATTCCAATTGTCCAGACCGCCACTGCCATAATACCGCCGTCCACTGAGGTCAAGTACTCTGCACCGTTGCCGTCATTTGCATCAGCAAGTGCGTCTAAACCAGCGGAACCCAACCAAGATATATGGGAAATGCTTGACCCGGAAGGAAATGCACCAGTGGATAATAAGGATCCTGTCTCTGAGATAACCGGTCTTAGGTCCCCAACGTATCCACCAACAAGTGTTGCACTATCGGATGCAGGTGGAAAGCCACCAGGACCTGACCCTCCAGATGATGACAGGGACTCACAGGCAGATCGCGACAGCAAACGTGGTAAGGACAATCGTGGGAAGAAGCCCCCTCCGGGGAGCCGACGCCCACCGGGAGGTGGGCCTGGGGACGGTGATGATGATGATGGAGACGGGGATGGGTACAATTCTGATGATAGTGACCATCGATTCATCCGTCGCATGAGAGCCATGTTCGGCAGTTCCAGGGACCAGTCACATGAAAAGAACAAGGTCAAAGAAGCCGACACTGTGAAAGTTCCAGCTTTTCCCCATGCGGAGTCATACAGAAATTGGAGGATTCGCACAAGGGAAGCTGTAATGTCAGCATCTACTGACCCTGATAAAGCATTTGATTGGATAAGTGAGACCTGGAAAGAAGGCCAAACAATAGGGGCTCTTCGTGACGTAGGCAAGTTCACCACACTGGATGCCAAGTTGCTGTCCGCGCTCACCAATATTCTCACGGGTGATTTCGCAAGAAAGGTTGACACTTATAAAGAGACTGAAGCAACAAACCATCGTTATGTGAGGGGCCGTCAAGTACTGTTTATGATGCATGAACATTTCAGTACAAACATCAAGCATGGAGCGACCTACTCACTACAGGATTTGTTCAGTGTCAAACTTAAGGGTGACAACCTACGCGGATTCATCAGCAATTGGGATCAAGTGATGGCTGGTATCCCCAAGATTCCTGAGATTAGCATTCTGGAGACTCTGTTCTTTAACCAAGTCAAGACCAGTAAAGCAATAGCACACGACTTGCAGGAATATCATCGTGCTGAGGATGGGACCGAAAAGAAGTCCTACGATTTCCTAGTGACAGCAGTTCGCCGCTACTTGGATAGGGAGCGACTCGAGTCCAATCGTGAACGAGTTGCCAGGACCCTCGGTGCCTCGTCGTCCAGCGCAGCTCCGGCTGTGGGTGAGAAGACTGGGTACATTCCAAAGGGATACTGTGTCAAGTGGAATAAAGGGACCTGCACGAATGATGCCTGCCCATTCAAACATGAAAAGCCTCCACCAAAGAAAGACAGAAGTCAATCACGACCCTCATCCGACCGTGGCAGATCATCATCAAGGGGTAAGAACGATAAGAGCAAGAAGAAGCAGCCATGCAAGTTTTGGAAACAGGGAAGATGCAACAGAGGCAATGACTGTAGGTTTAGTCACGAGGGTAAGCAAACCAAGTCTCCTCGTGCTGCCACTCCTGCCAGGCCTTCGTCCAATGACTCGAAAGGATCCAGACGAAGGAACAGCAGAAGTCCAGGAAAAGGCAGGGACCGCTCGCCAAAGCAGAAGGGATCAAGGAGTCCCAGGAATAGCCGCTCCCCAAAGGGGAATCGAGGCAAGCCTGACACTCCCAAAGCTTCCCCAGCAGCCGTCTGCCTGATTGCCTCGATGTTAGCATCCGTATCCAATGCATGCCTTATGCCACCCATTGATGTGATCAGTTGCCCAGCAGTGACATTTGACACCAATCACGATGTGTATCAAGTCATTGCCAAGGGGGACCTTGAGCCTATCAATCCAGCTTCAAGGAGATACAAGAAAACTTTTCCTATCAACTATCCGTTTGATTTTGACCGAAGAGACGTAGAGGACGCATGTTTGTCAGCGAACATGTTGGCAGGAGCAGTCAAGAATTCGTTAATGAACTATGTCTGCAAATGCAACTATGAATGTGACACCATGTTTGGTTGTGATCACTGTATTCCAAAGGAAATAGTTGCGATGCCTGCCAAATCCGAGGAGTACGTTGATGGATGTTTCGAAGCCTCTATCGATTGGATTGTTGATACCGGTAGTGCACAAGATTTACTCACTGATCACCATGTACCGGATCATTATGGTTATTTTTCCGATAATCCAATCCGTCTCATCACTGCAAATGGGGAAAGTTCATCCATGAAGCAGGGCAAGGTCAAAGTCCCAGAGCTGAATGCTACCGTGTCACCGTACCTGGTGCAAAGTTCACCTCCTGTTTTATCAGTTGGACTCAGGTGCGTTGAGGATGGATTTGACTTCGTGTGGAGGGGCTCCAAGAATGAGAAGCCGAAATTAGTTTCACCTGATGGGAAGGTCATTGAACTTGAGGTCAGAGACTATGTCCCATATCTATGTTCCAAATCAAATCAACCAAGTGTGTCCACAGTGGCAAAATCAAGCAACAATGGTTCTCCCATGAAGAGAGTTAAAGTGATGGCTAGTTCATCAGGATCCGAGTCAGGCTTCATAGAAGAGGAGGATTCTCCCCCGTCACCAGACCTTTACGACGAAGAATATGAAGATGACGAACCTGCAGTTGTAGGAGGTAATTCATCAAAGTTTGACGACGACCTTGTACCTGACATCTCAGGCGATCCCGGTGCCGATGCGCCCTCCGATGAAGAAGGCAGTGCACCAGCTGACCGGGAGGTCCAGCCTGATGATGTTGGTGATTCAAGGGATGAAGTCCGTCGTGACCCGGAAATGGAAAGACGTAGGGAGAGGGGTAAGGCCGCACTCAAGGCTGAAGCTAAGAGTAAACGACACATGCTTACCCATATTCCCAAGAATCCATACTGTGATGTCTGTACAAAGGCCAAGATGTACAAGCCACCCGGTTACTCTAAAGGAGGATCATCCATGGTCGATGCAAAGAAGTTTGGAGATCATGTCACAGGTGACTATCTTATTGCCAAATCGGACCCTGAAACCGGTGT